TCAGAGCTGTTAAAGCTTTAAAGCCATTTACAGATTGGGAGCTCTTTCATACATAGGCTCGATTGCTCCTTTTCTCTTCTTCCCATCACACCAGGGATGAAGATCTATAACTCTAACAATTAGTTTAATTGAGGAGGGACCTGTAGAAGGCATGTAGAAATCAAAAGATGGTGTGATCGCAACTAATAAAAGAAGGAGAAATTAGGGTTTGCTCCTGTCACTACCTATTAGCCATCAGAACTCTGTAAGACCTCAGGGCACAGAGTCCTGGGATAAATTGCAGCTTCCCAGAAGCTAGTTAGAAATAGAATAGAATAGATGAAACTAAACCATTGCTATGATTGGGACTCTAACTCACTGCAGTTCTTAGAAGTGATCTAACATGAGATTTTCGGCAAGTGCGCCAATAAACAGTATAGGTCAAAGAAAGGAATCAGAAGGCGATTGACATTAAGTGACTTTTCTAAATGCATCTGGCTTAGACTTGCTCACTGATCTCCCCGGGAATTTGCTCCTGTTAAGGGTCAGCAGCACAGAGTGGTTTGAGTGTCCAGGATTGTAGTCCACTGGGTGACACCTTGGGCAAGTTACACACTCTTAGCAAAGCTCTTGTACACAAGTCGTGCCAAGAAAACCCCGTGATAGTGTGGCGTTAGGGTCATCATATGTTGCAAATTACTTAAAGACACACAACAGCAACAAAATGGGAAGAGGTCATAGCATAGTGGCATGATTTGCATGCAAAAGGCAATTTTAATCTGCACTGCTAGTCAATATAACCAACACCAAGCTAGATGGATCAGTGCTCTGGTTCAACATATGCAGCTTTCTTTCAACCAGAGTTTCAGAAAGTTAATGTTTTTGGAATATTACTTGCAGAATATTCTGGACAACATGACTGTGGGTTATATTCCAAAGGACTATCTTTTCAAAGCTCTGAGAACAAGGGCAAGATCAGCAGACTGTACCTTGCTAAAAGATATTTCTTTTCTCAGAAACTGAGCATATACGCGATCATGTCATTTATATCACTGCTAGGTTTTTCAGCCATTGCTAGAATGGACTATATTAAAAATGAGGTGTTGGTGGTAGGCAAAGAACAAAAAAATGTAAGATCTACACATTGTTTTAAAATAATATAAGCATAAATGTTTACAAAGTAGCAAAATTTAGCCACAGGGCTTTGCTTTGCTGTGGCTAGGTCTAGAGAACCAGGGGGTTGGGTCCCTGGGGCAGTCCCGAGGGGGTTTCATTGTTGTTCATTCGTTCAGTCGTCTCCAACTCTTTGTGACCTCATGGACCAGCCCACGCCAGAGCTCCCTGTCGGCCGTCACCACCTCCAGCTCCTTCAAGGTCAGTCCAGTCACTTCAAGGATGCCATCCATCCATCTTGCCCTTGGTCGGCCCCTCTTCCTTTTGCCTTCCACTTTCCCTAGCATAATTGTCTTCTCTAGGCTTTGCTGTCTCCTCATGATGTGGCCAAAGGACTTCAACTTTGTCTCTAGTATCTTTTCCTCCACTGAGCAGTCGGGCCTTATTTCCTGGAGGATGGACTGGTTGGATCTTCTCGCAGTCCACGGCACTCTCAGAACTTTCCTCCAACACCACAGTTCAAAAGGGTTTCATAGGGGTCATTAAAAACCATCAGAAAACATATATTTCTGATGGTCGTAGGAACCCCTTTGGCAGAGAAGGCTGAAGATCTCTCTGCCTGTCCTTCTCTTTGTTTTTGGAAATGGAAGGTGAATCCTCCCACCAAAAATCCTCCCTCCTCTGCTGTGATTGGCCAGCCTCTCCACCAAGGGGAGGGCTGTTTCTGAGACTCCAAGTGGGGAGGGGAGAGCAGGCATTCTTGGTGTGGTGCACTTGTGCGGGTGAGGGAGAGCATGTGAGATGGAAGGGAAGCTTGTGCCAGCGAGTCCCTTCAAGGCATGGGAGTTCTGTGTGGGACGTTTGACCCAATTCTATTGTTGGTGGGCTTCAGAATGCTCTTTGATTGTAGGTGAACTATAAATCCCAACAACTACAACTCCCAAATTTCAAAATCTATTTTCCCAAACTCCACCAGTGTTCACATTTGGACATATTGAATATTCATGCCAAGTTTGGTCCAGATCCATCATTGTTTGAGTCCACAGTCCTCTCTGGATGTAGGTGAGCGACAACTCCAAAACTCAAGGCCAACTCTCACCAAACCCTTCCAGTATTTTCTGTTGGTCATGGAAAGTCTGTGTGCTAAGTTTGGTTCAATTCCGTTATTAGTGGAGTTCAAAATGCTCTTTGATTGTAGGTGAACTATAAATCCCAGCAACTACAACTCCGAAATGACAAAATCAATCTCCCCCTCCAACCCCACCGGTATTAAAATATGGACGTATTGTGTATTTGTGCCAAATTTGGTCCAGTGAATGAAAATACATTCTGCATATCAGATATTTACACAACAATTCATAACAGTAGCAAAATTAGTTATGAAGAAGCAACAAAAATAATGCTATGGTTGGGTATCACCGCAACATGAGAAACTGTATTAAGGAGTTGCAACATTTAGAGTCAAAGCTTGGGAAATGTATTCGGGGAAACACAACTCATAGATTTTTAATTCCAGAAGTTGCAGTTTCAATAAATACCTTTTCCAAACTCTGACCAAATTCCTTGTGAACTTTCTGCCACTTTGGGAAACTCTGTTCTATCCTTTTAGGAACTTCAAGATCAATATGGTTGGTTAACAGCCATTCTATGGACATATCAACATTCTCTAGAATAGCCTAATGTGACTCTTCACCCTACCAACTCCAAAAATAGTTAGGGAAGGTATACTCACTTAACACAGTCATCTGTAAGCAAGCAATGGAGTTAAGCAACCAAGGAATCCACCCTGTTGTACAGTCTCATCAGATAAATTCCCATCAACCTGGCCTTCAACTCAGTTTAAGGCTATTAGAACCTGCCAATGAGACAATGAGATTTCTCTTACAATCTTGCAAAGCAAGTTCAAAGGGCAGACACCACATATAACCTTGGCAAAGGGAGGCATAGGTGGAATTCATAGAGAAGGCAAATAATGAAGGAGAAGGAAGTGTCTGGTCTATAATTGGAGGTCTGTTCAATAGGATTATAAAGGTGCACCAAGATGCATATGTTTCCAGTTCCTGGAAATAATGTTGATGTGGTGTATGGAAATGGAATCTCTCTGTGCCACTGAATCCCTTGAGAGGATCAGTGGCCAAATTCACCTGGTTCTGGTATAAAAAAGTGGTGAAGAATTTAGTAAAAGCAAGCCAGATGATGGTCATCACCAAGTCATTGGAAAGTTGGATTCTTATGCCCAAGGGAGTCATGAGGTCTGAAGGATTTTAGAAATTGTTATCCAAAGAAAGCAAAATTTCCCAATTCTGGAAAGATAGTTCATGTTGAGGGATATAGCAATTTGGGAGATGCTGGGAAATGACATATTGTGTGACCTGGAAGCCAGATCAGATAGGCTCTCTCCTTGGTTGCTTATCAATAAGGGAAGCAATCAAAGTCACTTGCTTTTATTTACAGAAAACACATTCCAGGAACATTCCTTTGTTGTAGGTGATGAGTCAGACTTTCAGGATTTCAATCTCATGATGTGCCTGATGGTCTATGGAGGTACATTTATGTGAAGGACCTGACCTATGCCTCAGCCAGACTGCAGTTTCCCAGAAATAATTTCTATGATCATGGGTATACATTTTTCAGCTCCTAAGTTTGCTCTTGTTTCAATCTGTGTAAAATTACATGGGTGCATCTACACTGTAGAATTAATGCAATTTGACACTCCTTTAACTGCCATGGTTGAATGATGTGGAATCAGGGGTAAGTTAACTGTGGATGGGACAGGTGTCATTTTAACCTCTGGATCCTATGTGGAATCCATACTTATTGCCCTGATGCAGACAGATTTGATGTCACATCACTTATGGCTTTGTTTTGGCCAATTTCCAGTTATTGATTTGTTTATTTATTTATTTGTGGTATTTCTATCCTGGCTTTCTCAGCCCAAAGGTGACTCAAGGTGTTAAGGTTTTTGGAATATGGAATAAGGTTAAAGTTTTTGGGACATGAAGAACCACAATGGCCATATCTGGCTAAATCTAATGTTTTGAGAGAGGTGCAGAAACCTTGGGATTTGCAAAATGGGGTCCTCCTGCTACCATCTGTGGTTCACAGGTTGCACTTTCTGGCCATAAGAAAGCAAGGATCTGTAGTATCTCCCTGACCTTGACTTTGAAGAAAGCCACCTTGATTTCTCAGCAGTAAAAGATCTTTAGAGACTAAGAGGATTGCAATGTAACTAATCATTGACAACTAATTATAATCTAGAATTGGTTGAACCTTAAATATTATAGAGAGTTGGCTTTTGTAAGTGGAACATGGTGGTGACCATTTGAACCTTTAATCCACCACACCACCATTCCTGGTGAGGGTTTTGTCTGATTCCTCCAGACAATGTGGCTAATCTTGAGGCTGTGTCACCTTTCCACTCTTTTTGAACTTTCCGTGTCAATGAAATAGACTTGGCCAAGTTCATTTTAACTCCATTTCAAAAAGCTAACCACCTTCAGATGGCCAATTACTCTTTAAATTGGACATGATGTGCTCTCTTGCTGCAGGTCCGGGGTATCTTTTGAACCAAAGCAGAGGTGGGTCCAAAGGAGCACACTAGATGTTGTTGAGCTTCAATTTCCACTAAACTTGGCCAAAACAGCTTGTCATGGGGAAATCTGGGATTTGCAGTCCAACATGTTGATGACAACAAGATTCCCATCATTGAACTCAGACAGTGTGTGATCATGGACAAGTCATATCCAGTCTGAATAGAGTAAAAGCTATTTTCTTTCCTTGCCAAAGAGTTAGCATAAGTTGAGACTGATTCCGCAAAACACCAATATGTACATAAATGTGTGGGTCTTATTTGAAAGCCCATCTAATACAATAATGTTTTTCCCCTTTCTGTCATGTTTATTTAACAGTTTGATATAGACAAAGAAGCAGGTGAAAGGCAGATATACCACCGATACTGCATGGAGCGTGCATCAGTGCATTGCGCCCATGTGTTCACCACAGTCTCCCAGATAACTACCATAGAAGCAGAACACATGCTGAAGAGAACAGCTGGTAAGATATATATTTCTAAAACAATGTGGTACATAGAAATCTTAAGAACTGTTGCAAATGCAAGTCATGCTTTTTTTGATACCTGAGGTCAAAAAAACAACAAAAAATTGCCCCCCCCCCCCAAAAAAAACCCTCTAACAAAAAGAAACCCTAGAGGTAAAAGTAATAATGCAAGAAATAAAGGTTTTCTGTCTTTTTTTGCCTCTCTGCTGTCACAGATAGTTGTCTCACACTTAATGTTAGAGCTGCCTTGAAAGATTGTCAGAAGATTCTTAACATCCTAGTGATAGCAGCAAGAATTTAAATATCCTGTGAATGGAAAGCAAGTAACAGCCCATGTTTAGACAGCTGTGTTTTTTTTAATGGACAATATTTTGCATATGCTTAGGCCAAGAATGGTCAAGTTGCAGGAAATGTAGAATAGATTGCCTTGGAGGGTGGTCAAGTTAAAGTCCAAACTTTTCCAAAGACTGTCTATAAGACTGTCCAAAGACAGTTTTATCTGCAGGAACCAATGCATTTTATGAATTATTATAAATTTTATTATATGACATTTTATGTATGTGTGCTGTTGTAAATGTATGTTGTCATCATCTATATGCATATGTATTGTTTATTTTATGTAGAGCTTCTGTGAGCTGCCCCAAGTCCCTTTGGGAAGATGGTAGCAGTGTGTAAATAAAGATGATGATTGGGTTGTTGTAGGTTTTTTCGGGCTATATGGCCATGTTCTAGAGGCATTTCTCCTGACGTTTTGCCTGCATCTATGGCAAGCATCCTCAGAGGTAGTGAGGTCATCCTCACAGGTAGTGACCTCACTACCTCTGAGGATGCTTGCCATAGATGCAGGCGAAACGTCAGGAGAAATGCCTCTAGAACATGGCCATATAGCCCAAAAAAACCTACAACAACCCAGTGATTCCAGCCATGAAAGCCTTCGACAATACAAAGATGATGATGATGAAGATGATGATTATATTATTATTATTATTATTATTATTATTATTATTATTATTATTATTATTATTACATCATTCTCTCTCATTCACCTAAATAGAATTAGTAGTCCTTTTCAGAACCAGATAGTAAGGATGCTGCATGTTAGCCTGAGAGTTGTGAAATTTGCCTGTTGCTCAGGAAAAAAAAAGGTCAATGATCTTTGCCAGAGTAGATCATTAATCTGGAAGTCTACCCAAGGGCATTACGATCAAAACAGTTTGTAATTTGTATACAAGGCAAAATTCTGCTCCCAGATACTTTGGCAGATAGACAACCAATATGTTTCTGGACTGGAGTTGCTGAACTCTCATTGTTGAGTGGTAGCATAGAGTTACTCCAAGAGGATACCATAGTGATGTTAAGCCAATTGTTTTGGGCTGATGCCATATCTGCTACCATTGAAGTGTTTTGAATAACGGGACACGCTATTGTGGAAGAGCTGCTGTATAGGGTGCCTGTTGGGAAAACCTTGAATCTTTCAGTGTTATGAAGAAGATACATTTTCAACGGAACTAGCAGCAGAGGAAGTTATTTAATACTAGCCATCCTCTGCCATGTGTTGCTGTGGCCCAGTCTGTGTATATGTGTTTTGTGTATGTATATGTGTGTATATATTTGTGTATATATGTGTGTTTGCATTTATATATGTGGTTTTGCACATGCATTGTAATTTACATTTTATTTTTGCTTTTTAAGTCTCTTCTGCTGTGTTTTTCAGTGTTTTATGAGTGATGGTCACTCGTTGGCCTGATACATGTATTGTGTCCAAATTTGGTGTCAATTCGTCCAGTGGTTTTTGAGTTATGTTAATCCCACAAACTAAAATTACATTTTTATTTATATAGATTTACCATTGATTCATTAACTCAGCATTGTCTGCAACAGTGTTTCCCAACCTTTGGTCCTCTAGGTCTTTAGGACTTCTACTCTCAGAAACCCTAGATAGGTTTGCCAATTCTCAAGAATTCTGGGAGGTAAAGTCCAAAATAACTGGATAACCAAAGGTAGGGAAACACTAGTCTACAGGAGAAGCGATCCAGCATTTTAATTCAAATTGAATTGATCTTTCTCAACCTTGTCTGGAGACTTCTGGACTTCAGGGTGGCAATAGTAGAGGATGAAATAGTAGAGGAGGAGCCGGTGAACAATAATGAGGCGGGGAGGGGGGAGGAGGGGAAGCAAGGGAGTTGGCAGGGACCAACAAACCAAACATCTAATGAAACAGATATTAAGACCCTGGTTTAGGACTGCGGCATGGAGGGGGGGAGGTGTTCCACTAGCCGAGGGGCCCCCATAGAGGTCGTGGTGGGAAGGAGGAGATGTGGAAAAAGGAGACCTCAAATTCGGCCTAATTCGGACCGCTTATCAAAATTATAATCCCAAACCGGTCTCCTAAGGTAAATTGGTGTAACCAGGTGAGCGGGCCCTCTGGATTGAAGGTGGTGCTGTTGAACGCCAGATCTGTCAACGGAAAAACGACCTTTATCCAGGATTTAATCCTGGACGAGCGGGCAGATCTGGCGTGCATTACGGAGACCTGGTTGGATGAAGCTGGGGGGGTGAATCTGACCCAGCTTTGTCCCCCAGGTTTCTCCGTACAGCACCAACCGAGATCCGGAGGACGGGGAGGCGGGGTTGCAGTGGTCTATAGAGATTCCATCCATCTGACCAGAAGCCCCATCCCGCAGACCACAAATTTTGAATGTGTCCACCTAAGGGTGGGTGACCGGGACAGAATAGGGATTCTGTTAGTGTACCGTCCACCTCGCTGCACTACAGTCTCCCTACCTGAGCTAGCGGGGGTAGTCTCGAGCCTGGCGTTGGAGTCTCAACGGCTTCTGGTGCTGGGAGACTTCAATATCCATGCCGAGGCGACCCTCACAGGAGCGGCTCAGGACTTCATGTCCGCCATGGCAACCATGGGGCTGTCCCAACAAATATCTGGCCCCACCCATTGTGCTGGACACACATTGGACTTGGTTTTCTGCCAGGGATGGGAGCAGGGTGGCGGTGTGGAGGAGTTGTCATCTCTCCGTTGCCATGGACTGACCACTTCCTGATCAGATTTAGGCTCACTGCACCCCCTAACCTCTGCAAAGGTGGAGGACCCATTAAGATGGTCCGCCCCAGGAGGCTTATGGATCCGAACGGATTCCTGACGGCTCTTGGGGATTTTCCCGCCACCTCGGTAGGTGACCATGTCGAGGCCTTGGTCGCTCTCTGGAATGGGGAGATGGCCAGGGCAATTGACATGATCGCTCCGGAACGTCCCCTCTCAAGTAGCCGAGCTAAACCAGCCCCTTGGTTTACTGAGGAGCTGGCAGTGATGAAGCGAAGGAAGAGGGAACTAGAGAGCGTGTGGCGTTCAGACCCAAGCGAGTCAAATCGAACACGGTTTGTGTCCTTTTTAAGGGCATACGCCGCGGCAATAAAAGCCACAAAGAAAACCTTCTTTGCGGCTTCCATTGCGTCTGCAAAGAACCGTCCGGCGGAGTTTTTTAGGATTGTCAGAGGTCTTTTAACTCCCGCCACTTCAGGCGGGAGCCCTGACAATTCGGTCACGCGCTGTGAAGCATTTGCTCGGTTCTTTGCAGACAAAGTCGCTTTGATCCGTTCTGAGCTGGACACCATGTTAAATGCAGTCTCTGTGGATGTGACACGAGCACCTGCTTGTCCTATTTTGTGGATTCTTTTCAGTTTGTGAAACCCGAGGATGTGGACAAGATACTTGGAGGAATGAGGCCCACCACGTCCATCCTAGACCCCTGCCCATCCTGGCTTCTGAAGGAGGCCAGAGGGGGATTGGCTGAGTGGGTAACGGTGGTGGTTAATGCCTCCCTTCGGGAAGGCAAGATTCCAGCGTGCTTAAAACAAGCAGTTATAAAACCGCTGTTGAAGAAACCATCATTGGACCCCACTAAATTCGACAACTTTCGGCCTGTTTCCAATCTCCCCTTTTTGGGCAAAGTCATGGAAAGCGTGGTGGCCTCACAACTCCAGGTATTCTTGAGAGACACGGATATTCTGGATCCGGCACAGTCTGGTTTCAGACCGGGACATGGTACCGAGACGGTCTTGGTCGCCTTAGTGGATGATCTGCGCCGGGAGCTAGACAGGGGGAGTGTGTCCCTGTTGGTGCTCCTGGACCTCTCAGCGGCCTTCGATACCGTCGACCACGGTATCCTTCTGGGGCGCCTTGCGGAAATGGGTCTTGGGGGCACTGCTCTGCAGTGGCTCCAGTCATTTCTGGAGGGTCGGACCCAGAAGGTGTTATTGGGGGACTGCTGTTCAACACCACAGCCTTTGACCTGTGGGGTTCCACAGGGTTCTATACTGTCCCCCATGCTGTTTAATATCTACATGAAGCCGCTGGGTGAGATCATCCGGAGTTTCGGGGTGCGGTGTCATCTGTACGCAGATGATGTCCAACTCTGTCACTCCTTTCCACCTGCTACTAAGGAGGCTGTCGAGGTCCTGAACCGGTGCCTGGCCGCTGTAATGGTCTGGATGAAGGCGAACAAACTGAAATTAAATCCAGACAAGACAGAGGTACTCCTGGTCAGTCGCAAGGCCGAACAGGGTATAGGGTTACAGCCTGTGCTGGACGGGGTCGCACTCCCCTTGAAGGCGCAGGTTCGCAGCTTGGGTGTGACCCTGGATTCATCGTTGAGCCTGGATCCCCAGGTTTCAGCGGACCAGGGGAGCATTTGCACAGCTTAGGCTCGTGCGCCAGCTGCGCCCGTACCTTGGGAAGTCTGACTTGGCCACGGTGGTACACGCTCTGGTCACATCCCGCCTTGACTACTGCAACGCTCTCTACGTGGGGCTGCCCTTGAAGACGGCCCGGAAGCTTCAGCTAGTCCAGCGCGCGGCAGCCATGTTACTAACGGGAGCGGGACGCAGGGAGCACACAACGCCCTTGTTGTCCCAGCTCCACTGGCTGCCGATCTGCTACCGGGCCCAATTTAAGGTGCTGATGTTATCCTACAAAGCCCTAAACGGTTCCGGCCCAAAATACCTTTCGGACCGCATCTCGGCCTATGAGCCCACGAGGGCCTTGAGATCGTCTGGGGAGGCCCTTCTCTCGATCCCGCCTGCCTCACAGGCACGTCTGGCGGGGACGAGAGAGAGGGCCTTCTCAGTGGTGGCCCCCCGGCTGTGGAACACTCTCCCTGTTGACATCAGACAGGCGCCCTCCCTTATGGCTTTCCGTAAGAGCCTAAAGACCTGACTATTCGAGAAGGCATTTAATTGAGAGCTACACGAATCTGGTAATGACAACTGGAACGGACTATGGATTATGAGGCTGGCTACGATTCTATGTTGTGACGGTGCGGATTTGTTAGTGTGATTTAGATTAGATTAGATTAATGTGTAATATGGTTAGGTTGTTATATTGTGTATTTTTGTAAACTGTTTTTTATATGTTGTACACCGCCGCGAGTCGCCCCAGGGCTGAGAGCGGCGGTCAACAAATACAGTAAATAAATAAATAAATAAATAAATAAATAAATAAATAAATATTGAGCTAAATCCTTTTCACTCAGACTTTGTCATGCAGGCATAAGACAAACTGCTTCCATATTTTCATACTGAGAATAAGATTTTCCACCCTATTCCTTTGTGACTGCATCACTAAATTGTTTGAAATACCATTGCAAGTGTCTAAAACCATGTTACCTGTTTCTCAATATCTCTTATTGATAAACAAAGGCAACTTTATCCCTTCTTTTTAAAATCTACTGCCTTTCTTATTTATTTATTTATTTATTTTATTTACTTTCTTCTGCTTTTATTAGATGTCATCACTCCGAATGGCTTGAACATTAAGAAATTCTCAGCTATGCATGAGTTTCAGAACCTGCACGCAACCTGCAAAGCCAAAATCCAAGAGTTTGTCCGAGGACATTTTTATGGGTAGGATCTATGGATCAATGGCTGGTTTCCCCCCACATGTTTAAGATCTTTCTGGATGACAGATCCTGGACTAATTATGTTACAATGCCAGATTTACATAAAGGGAGGGAAGTAATCTTACTGCTAGAATTTTAATATTTAACATTTAAATTTATAACTTGTTTAATTGTGCTTTAATTGTGTCTATCCTGATTTTTGTATTGCTTTTCACTTGCATGGTTTTGAGTATGTTGTTTGCCACCTTAAGTAAGGCGGAATATAAATTAAGACGTTTATATTGAGGATTCCATAGTCTATTCCTTCCATGCTTTTCTTCTACTTTTATATCACAAGAACAGGTGTCCCTTAGCACTTAAGTATATGAAGAAAATAGAAATTCTAGTTTTTTGCTAACTTGCCATGTTGCAGCTATATGTTGGTGACCTTCACTCAGCACAGCATTCTGCCTGCATTGTTTGATCAGCCACTTGACCCATTTTACGTGTGTTTACTCTTTCTTTTACTCAGTCATCTTGATTTCAACCTTGAAAGGACCTTGTTTTTCTTCATTGCTGGGAGATATGAGTTTTCGAACAAAGGAGCCGACATGTTTCTAGAAGCGTTATCAAGATTAAACTTCCTATTGAGGGTAAGGAAGTGTATATAAATCCCCCTTAGCCAGTCCTAAGAATGAAATAATAGCTATCCTGTATTTAACCAAAGGTCTACCTAGAAAGCTGTTGTGGAGTACTGATTTGAGTGTTGGACTAAAACACCATGATCTGAATTCTCGCATATTCAAGGAAACCCAATGGGTGACCTTCATTAAACGTAAAAGAATGGCAATGGCAAGTATCTTCTGAATACATCTTGGCAACAAACTCTATGATAGTGTTCTCATAATTCAGAGTTGACTTAAACACATGTAGAATCACAGAATCCTAGAGTTGGAAGAGACCTTGTGGCCCATCCAGTCCAACCCCATTCTGCCAAGAAGCAAGAAAATCACATTCAAAGCACTCCTGACAGACACCCATCCAGTCTCTGTTTAAAAGCCTCCAAAGAAGGAGCCTCCACCACACTCCATGACAGAGAGAGAGTTCCACTTCTGAATAGCTCTCACAGTTAGGAAGTTCTTCCTAATGTGCAGGTGGACTCTCCTTTCCTATAGTTTGAAGCCATTGCTCCGCGTCCTAGTCTCCAGGGCAGCAGAAAACAAGCCTCCTCCCTCATCCCTATAACTTCCCCTCACATATTTATACATGGCCCTCGTCATGTCTCCTCTCAGCCTTCTCTTCTGCAGGCTAAACATACCCAGCTATTTAAGCCACTTCTCATAGGGCTTGTTCTCCAGACCCTTGATCATTTTAGTTGCCCCCCACATTCCAGCTTGTCAACCTCTCCCTTAAATCATGGTGCCCAGAATTGGACACAATGTGATCCCAGGTGTGGTCTGACAAAGGCAGAATAGATGGGTAGCATGACTTCCCTGGATCTAGACACTATGCTCCTATTTATGGGGTCAAAATCCCATTGGCTTTCTAGCTGCCACATGACATTGTTGGCTCGTGTTTAACTTGTTGTCCAAGAGGACTCCAAGATCTTTTTCACATGTCCTGCTGTCGAGCCAGGCATCATCCCCCATTCTGTATCTTTGCATTTCATTTTTTCTGCAAAAAGTTTAATACTTTGCATTTGTCCCTGATTAACTTCATTTTGTTAATAACAACACCTACCTAATCTTCCCTTGATGATGACATGCTGGTCGAGTCCTGGGTAGATATCTCCCAAGTTGCTGTTGAGATCACCCTCTTTAAAGAACAGTTGGTGTAGATAACATTGATCTAGGTCAGGGATTCCCAAACTCTTGGCCAAGATCAATACTGTCTACATTGAAAGGCAACAGGACCCCAGGATCTCAGACAGACTTTTCTAGGCATACTTGGAAACACTGGTGTTGAACATGTACCCAAATGCATGTAAAGTATCTATTGCTAAGCCATGGCTTATTATTCCTCTTCCTTGCTCTCCTCCATGATCCAAGCGTTTTGGACTTCATTTCTGAGATGCCTCGGCTGTCTTGACCAATGATCAGGGATTCTGACAGCTGAAGCCCAAAACACCTGGAAGACCAGAATTTGGAAAACACGAGTCAAGCTAACGTGATATTGGACTCCTCCATTCCAACATTCCTGCATTCCTTTTATTTTTTTTAGAAAAATAAAGAAATATATTAATGAAATATTTATTACAATGAGGGGAATATCCTTCAGCCTGTTAAGAAAATCATTTATTATTTACTTCATTTTTACCCTGTCTTTCTCGGCCCGAGAGGGGACTCAAGGTGGCTTACAAAGCTGGTTGTTGTTTTTCTTTTCAGGTGCACAGGAGTGATGTCACAGTAGTAGTGTTCTTCATAATGCCAGCAAATACTAATAATTTCAATGTGGAAACCTTGAAAGGCCAGGCAATCCGAAAGCAACTGTGGTAAGCATATCTCTCCCCCACCTCCTCTCATTTTTGGACTCTTCTGAAGTGACAAGAAGATGGAGTGTAGAAAAGGGTGGTAGACTTTCCACTGATCAAATTAGGATGTTTTGTCTCTTTTGGAGAAGTCATGTAAAAGGAAGATCTCCTCCATACATCGTAGAGAATGTACTGAGTTTGTGAAAATCTATGTGGTGTTCGTATGGAAAGCTTTCTTTCTAATGCATGCTCACTGTAACGGATTGGCCTACCTTGCAGGATTGGTGTAAAAGGCAGTAAACAGGCCTGGCTTGCAAAAGCTAAGGAAAGCCTGGGAGAATCCTTTGTTGAGAGGTGATTAGTTGTCCCTGATTGTTTCTTGTCTGGAGTTGCTCTGTTTTTGAGTGTTGTTCTTTATTTGCTGTTACAATTTTAGAGGGTTTTTTAGTACTGGTAGACAGATTTTGTTCATTTTCATGGTTTCTTCCTTTCTGTTGAAATTGTCCACATGCTTGTGGATTTCAATGGCTTCTCTGTGTAGTCTGACATGGTGGTTGTTAGACTGGTCCAGTATTTTTGTGTTCTTCAATAATGTGCTATGTCCATGTTGGTTCATCAGGTGCTCTGCTATGGCTGACTTCTCTGGTTGAAATAGTCTTCAGTGCCTTTCATGTTCCATGATTCGTGTTTGGGCAACGCTGCATTTGGTGGTCCCTATATAGACTTGTCCACTGCTGCATGGTATGCAGTAGACTCCTGCAGAGGTGAGAGAATTCCTCTCACATCTTAAGTGGTTGAGCGGGAAAAGGAAGGGGCCTGGGGCTGTTAGGAATTGTGGGAGTTGAAGTCCAAAACACCTGGAGGGCTGAAGTTTGCCCATGTCTGGTATAGCCAGGGGAATTATTCTACTTTTACTTATATAACATCATAAATATACATGGCGCTGTATAAAAATAAAACGATAGAAATAGGTATCTCCGCCAAAGGCATCACATTAAATAAAAATACCCTGGAGATAGATCTCTATCTATCTATATAGCCTTACCTTAGGCGATCCCTCGCTTTCTGAGGATGATTGTCTTCCAGTATTCTTGTGGGTCTGTATGTGGCTGTGGAGCCCTATTCTTGCTCTGCATCTTCTTCCGCAGTGAGGGCATTGGTTTCCAGGTGGAAGGCGGTCTCGGTCGGGGTTGGCTTGACGCGCCTTCCTCTTGGCACGCTTCTCCCTTTCACCCTCCATTCATGCCTCTTCAAATTCTGCAGCACTGCTGGTCACAGCTGACCTCCAGCAGGAGCGGTCAAGGGCCAGGGCTTCCAAAAACTCTGGCATCTATATAGAGAGAGGTGTGAATATTTCATCTCCATTCAGAACTTGATAAGATTTGGATTGTTGTAGGTTTTTCTGGGCTATATAGCCATGGTCTAGAGGCATTTTTTCCTGACGTTTCACCTGCATCTATGGCAAGCAACCTCAGAGGTAGTGAGCTCTGTTGGAAGTAGGAAAATGGGGTTTATATATCTGTGGAATGACCAGGGTGGGACAAAGGACTCTTGTCTGCTGGAGCTAGGTGTGAATGTTTCAACTGACCACCTTAATTAGTATTTGGTGTGCCTCCTCAAATCCCCTTCAATATTATTTTTAGGATTTTAGGATGATTTCTAGAGTCAATTAATTTGTTATCATGCTGATTTAAGTGCCACGGATATCAATAAAATAAATGAGTACACTTAGTAACCTATGGATGGAAGATCTGGACCATAAGAAAGGAACAATGAAGCAAGATAGACGCTTTTCAACTGTAGTGTTGGAGGAAAGTTCTGAGAGTGCCTTGGATCGTGAGAAGATCAAACCAGTCCATACTCCAGGAAATAATGCCCAACTGCTCACTGGAGGGAAGGATATTAGAGGCAAAGATGAAGTACAGGAAAGCTTGGAGAAGATAATGATGCTAGGGAAAATGGAAGGAAAAAGGAAGAGGGGCCGACCAAGGGCAAGATGGATGAATGTTATCTTTGAAGTGACTGGCTTGACTTTGAAGGAGCTGGGGTTGGCGGTGGTCGACAGGGATCTCTGGTGTGGGCTGGTCCATGAGGTCATGAAGAGTCAAAGGAGACTGAAAAAATAAACAACAAACACACTTAATGATGTTCTTTTCTGCCTCTTCTTAGGGACACAGCACATTCTGTGAAAGAAAAGTTTGGCAAAAAACTCTATGAGGCACTATTAAGGTAAGAATTGTGAGGTTGCAATATTTCACTGCATTCATGGTGTTGATGCCTTCATTGCATGCCACAACTTTAAATACGTTGGGCATATATGTATCCCTACTTCTGGGATAACCAAGTATCAGATCATTAACACCAGAGCAGGGGGTGCAGTTAGCATAGTGAGTTAAACCGCCAGCTACAGAATATCCTGCTGACCAGAAGATTGGCAGTTCAAGATACCGGTGGAGTGAGCTCCCACCGTCAGCCCCAGCTCTCCTGCTTACCTAGCAGTTTGAAAACAGTAATGTGAGTAGATAAATAGGTACTGCTTTCGCAGGGAGGTAGAAAGCACCCTCAAGGCATGTCAGCAAGGCATCCATGGACAACAGACTCCTCGGCATGGAAAAAATGGAACAACAGCACCTCTCCATGGCCGAGTCGAGCACAGCTCCAGATGCTGGAAATGAGATTTTTTTATTCTAAAGTGGTGTCAGAATCCATTCCTTCTTTGCCTAGTTGCACCACTAGTGGCTTTCAGTAGTTGTGGTGTATCTAACCAAGCTTAATTTGAGCGAGGCTTACATTGTATGGGCATCCATTAGAAGGCATTGCTTGCCCAAATGGCGCAAGTCAAAAAGTGCCCAGGCTTCAATGTGCTATCTTAACAATATTTTTTTGGAAAATATTGCTTCTCTCTTTACTCAAAGATTTGCCTTGTTGCATCCACAGAGGAGAAATCCCCGATATGAACAAGATCATAGACCGAGATGACCTAACCATCATTAAAAGAGCCATCTATTCCACGCAGGTTAGAACTCATATCATTCAATGATTTTAATAGACGCATAAAGCTAGTTTGAACAGAGCTTTGAAAAGTTATTTATGTGGGCTACAGCTTCCAGAATTTCCCAGACAACCTTTCCAAGACCTGGTCTTGTAGACGTAGGTCTCATTAATGGAAACCAATTTCTTCTGATCCATTCCAGATGTGTTAAATGCTTCTCCACGGCTCCCATCCCAATTCCTTAAATACAGCAAACTAAAATGTTCTGAGTAAAAGCTCTCATTTTCGATGTGCAGGAGCATTTAGTCTTGTGAAATGCCACCTTCAATCTGAAGTTTTACGATCCAAAGTGCAAGCATAGATTTGTCATTGTTGGAGCTCATAGAGCAGTATTTCTCAACCTGGGGGTCAGGACCCTTGGGGGGATTATGAGGGGGTATCAGAGGGGTCGCCAAACACCATCAGAAAACACAGCATTTTCTGTTAGTCATGACGGTTCTGTGTTGGAAGTTTGGCCCAATTCTATCGTTGGTGGGGCTCAAATGCTCCTCCTATGAACTGACCAGGACACTAAGATCGTCTGGGGAGGCCCTGCTCTCGGTCCCACCTGCATCGCAGGCGTGCCTGGCGGGGATGAGAGACAGGGCCTTCTCAGTGGTGGCCCCTCAGCTGTGGAATGCCCTTCCTGCAGACAACAGATCGGCCCCCTCGCTGTTGGCATTTCGGAAGAAGGTGAAGATCTGGCTATTCAAACAAGCGTTTGACTAAACAGTGAAATTGAACATAGGAATACGGATCAATGGATAATGAGAGTGGATTCTGATTTTATTGTTGAGGCGTTATGATTGTTATACTGTTGTTAATTGTTGATGTTATAATCTATTTTAATTGCATTATACTGTTTTGTGATATTTTGCATTGTTGTGTAAACTGCTTTGAGTCTCCTAAGGGCTGAGAAAAGCGGTATAGAAATAAAGTAAATAATAAATAAATAAATAAATAAATTGTAGGGGAACTATACATCTCTGCAACTACAACTCCCAAATTTCAAGATCTATTTTCCCCAAAATCCACCAGTGTTCACATTTGGGCATATTGAGTATTAGTGCCAAGTTTGATTCAGATCCATCATTGTTTGAGTCCACAGTGCTCTATGGATGTGGGTGAACTACAATTCCAAAACTCAAGGTCAATGCCCACCAAACCCTTCCAGTATTTTCTGTTGGTTATGGGAGTTCTGTGTGCCAAGTTTGATTCAATTCCATCATTGGTGGAGTTCAGAATGCTCTTTGATTTTAGGTTAACTATAAATTCCAGCAACTACAACTCCCAAATAACAAAATCAATCCCCCCCCCCCCCCAACCTCACCAGTATTCAAATTTGGGCGTATTTGTGCCAATTTTGGTCCAGTGAATGAAAATACATCCTGCATTTCAGATATTTACATTGGGATTCATAATAGTTGTGAAGTAGCAACAAAAATAATGTTATGGTTGAGGGTCACCACAACATGAGGAACTGTATTAAGGGGTCACGGCATTAGGAAGGTTGAGAAACACTGTCATAGAGTCATTTGTGATTGAGACCAATTGGAAACATGACTTCGACTCTTATTTTGTAATTGTAAGCTGTGTCTAAAACCATCTTTTGTCCTGTTCCAGAGACAGGGCCTCCCGCCAGTGACAACGCACAACATGATTGACGATAACACTGACCCAATCTTAAGTACCATTAGACGTATTGGCCTTTTCAACAATCGCACAGACCGAGTTAAGGTGAAAATGATCACTGCTTGTTTGTATGCATCCCTTCCCCTTTAAATAAAATTGTTTTAAAAATTAAACAGGTACTGCTGGCTTGCAAAAGGGGAGAATACAAGGAGGATATACGAAGTACAACATTCTAGGGTAATGGTAGTATTTAAGTGGTAGGCTTGGGTATTTTCACACTGTTGGGGAGGAGCTTTCTGCATGGTTGTTGGGAAAACATCTTGGGAAAATCAATCTGATTTTTAATGTATTGTCGAAGGCTTTCATGGCCGGAATCACTGGGTTGTTGAGGGTTTTTCCAGGCTATATGGTCATGTTCTAGAGGCATTTTCTCCTGACGTTTCACCTGCATCTATGGCAAGCATCCTCAGAGGTAGTGAGGTCTGTTGGAAGTAGGAAAATGGGTTTATATATCTGAGGAATGACCAGGGTGGGACAAAACCTGATGTGCCTGATTGTTTAAAACAACAGAGAGTAAACAATCAGGCACATCAAATCACTCTCAACAAAAGATTCCCCCCAGGCACTTCCAAGCCATTAAATACTAATCAAGGTGGTCAGTTGAAACATTCACACCTAGCTGCAGCAGAAAAAAGTCCTTTATCCCACCCTGGTCATTCCTCAGGTATATAAACCCATTTCCTACTTCCAACAGACCTCACTACTTCTGAGGATGCTTGCCATAGATGCAGGTGAAACGTCAGGAGAAAATGCCTCTAGAACATGGCCATATAGCCCGGAAAAACCTACAACAACCCAATCTGATTTTTAAAAAATGTTTGGAGGAATTCTGGGCCTGGGAAGGGGTGCTTCAGGAGTAACAAAAGTGGGCTTTATGGACCTCACTTTCTTTTCTATTTCCTGCTTTTGACAAATTTTCTGATATGTTATCTACAATATTATGGAGAAGGTCCATTGCAGGGACACCTTGAGTTACTCACAAACCTTAGGAATGCCACTGCAGATATTCATATTTATTTATTTACTGTATTTTCACCCCACTCTATCTCAACGCCGAAAGGGACTCAGAGTGGCTTCCAAATTGACAATAATTCAATGCCACATTAGGACATAAACCAAAAACATACAAAATACATTGCACACTTAAATACATTTAAATAAGTGGTTAAAAACAAAGCATATAGTCCAGAAATCGTAATCCATAGTGATATATAATATTTATTATATTATATATGCTATAAAAGAATATATATTTTATATGTGTGTGTTACAATATTATTATAATGTTAAATTCTTATAATTCTTATATTATTATTTTATTATTTTATTATTATATTATACTAGGCATCCCCTGACTTGCATTGCTGTGGCCCAGTCTATGTATATGTGTTGTGTGTATGTGTGTATATATTTGTTTTTGTGCATGCATTGTAATGGGTTTTTTTTAGTTTTTGGCTTTTTAAGTCTCTTCTGCTGTGTTTTTCAGTGTTTTTATGAGTGATGGTCACTTGTTGGCCTGATAGGTGTATTGTGTCCAAATTTGGTGTCAATTCGTCCAATGGTTTTTGAGTTATGTTAATCCCACAAACAAACATTACATTTTATTTATATAGATTATATTATTATATATGCTATATAATAGAATATATTATATTTATGTGTGTTACAATAATATTATATATTATAATATTGTATTATAATTATATTAATATGTTTTTATATAATAATATATTATATGTTATAATGGAATATATTTAATCATCATCATCATCATCATCATCATCATCATCATCATCATCATCCAGCACATATATCTCATTTGCTGTGACATGCTACGTTTTTGTGTAATAATAATAATAATAATAATAATAATAATAATAAATCTTTATTGATATCCGGCTTTTCTTCCAAACGGGACCCAAAGCAACTCAAACATAGTGCATGTTTAGAAAAAAGAAAAGTAAAGTGGATTTTCCTTCTTCTCCTTTCCTTTCCCTTTCCTTCTTCAACTTGCAGGTAATACTGCATCCTGAATTCCTTTCCTCAACAAGCCCTTTGTTACCAATGGATTATGACGAATTCGTCAGGGGCTGTCATCTTGGTGTGTTCCCATCCTATTACGAACCCTGGGGCTACACACCTGGTAAGAAAATGACAGATGTCCGTGTGTTTGTGTGTGTGCAAGTTTTACTAAGTTTTGGTGACCCCCTCCTTAGGAAATTTGTCACCCGAAGATACGGTAATAATTGACCACACTGGATTTATAGAAATTAACCAGGTTATGTATCTAAGGGCCCTTCCACACAGCCATATAACCCAGAATATCAAGGCAGAAAATCCACAATATCCGCTTTGAACTGGGTTATCTGAGTCCACACTGCCATATAACTGAGTTCAATGTGGATTTTATACAGCTGTGTGGAAGGGGCCTCAGTGACTGTTTTTGTGTTTGAGTTGTTGTTGCTTTTAGCTATCAGGAAATTGTTTTAGTGGCTGTTTGACCAGCAAACTGTCAAGGAAAAGGGAGACTGATTGGTAACATTGACCAACAAATAACTTTAATAAATACCTTGTCCCAACAAGGCACCTTCCCAATTGTTTGTATCTCAACTCCCATCATGTCTGACCAATATCTATACTGGTTGGGAATGATGGAAACTGAACTGAAAACCATTTGGAGGGGATCAAGCTGCTTTAAGTATTCATCCTCTAGTCTTGCTTGCCTCCACTAGCAATTTTTCAGTATAATAGTTATTACCATAATAATAATAATAATAATAATAATAATAATAATAATGCCATTAGAACAAATTCCATAAAAGCCATAATGGAAAAGTTGACGACAGATCCCAAGTGTAGACTCTACAAGGAAGCAGATGGTGAAGGATCTTTGGAGGCTTTTAAACAGAGGCTGGATGGCCATCTGTCGGGGTGCTTTGAATGCGATTTTCCTGCTTCTTGGCAGGGGGTTGGACTGGATGGCCCATGAGGTCTCTCTCAACTCTTTGATTGTCTGCTGCAAGAAGATTGCGCAGACAGATTACAAGTAGAGGCACAACACCGTTGCTCAGATGATTCATTGGGACCTGTGCCACAAATATCATCTGCCTGCGACAAAGAACTGGTGGGATCACAAGCCAGAAAAGTTTACAGAAAATGAACACGTCAAACTCCTCTGGGACTTCCAAATTAAGACAGACAGAGTTCTGGAGCACAATACTCCTGACCTCACAATCATGTTAAAAAACAAAGTATGGATTGCTGATGTTGCAATCCCAGGTGACAGCAGGATTGAAGAGAAACAGCTGGAAAAGCTGACACGATATGAGAATTTAAAGATAGAACTGCAAAGACTCTGGCACAAACCAGTAAAGGTAGTCCCAGTGGTGATCGGCACACTGGGTGCAGTGCCTAAAGACCTTGGCCTGCACTTAAACACAATCGGCACTGACAAAATTACCATCTGCCAGCTGCAAAAGGCCACCTTACTGGGATCTGCACACATTATTTGCCGATACATCACACAGTCCTAGACACTTGGGAAGTGTCCGACATGTGATCCAATACAACAGCCAGCAGAGTGATCTTGTCTGCTGTGGACTCATCTTGTTGTGTTTCTAATAATAATAATACTTTATTTTTATACCCTTCCTCCATCTCCCCAAAGAGACTCGGGGTGGCTTACAAGGGACATGCCCATTATTTGTGTGATCTGTTATGAAATGCTTAGGACATAATTTTGGGCAGATCCAGCATAAAGACATGAATGAATGGATGTGTTAGAATGGATGCGGAGTGTGGTGGAAGATCTTTCTTTGGAGGCTTTTAAACAGAGGTTGGATGGCCGTCTGTCGGGGTGCTTTGAATGCGATTTTCCTGCTTCTTAGCAGAAGGGGGTTGGACCGGATGGTCCATGAAGTCTCTTCCAACTCTGTGATTCTATGAAATGCTTAAGGAGACAACTCACAGGCATACAATTACTACTATGGACTTTGTAGCTCTTGTTTCTGCTGGGATGAAGTGGACTCGTGTTATGTTCTCTAAATCCTTTTGTTGTTTCCATCTTTTGTTGTTTCCATCTTTTGGCAGCTGAATGCACAGTTATGGGGATTCCAAGTGTGACCACAAACCTCTCTGGATTTGGCTGCTTCATGCAAGAGCATGTGGCTGACCCAGCTGCTTATGGTGAGTCCTTCACACTAAAACCGGTCATTGAATGCCCTCACTGTTGGATCCTCATAAGTGGCAGCCTCACTTTATATCCGGTGGCTTATTTGATTTTAATTACGTCCCAGCTTTCGCTCAATAAGGGATCGAAGGAGATTCAAGTAAAGATTGCTACCAATTGTAGAAAATCATAAAGGTAAAGGTAAAGGTTTCCCCTTGACATGAAGTCTAGTCATGTCTGACTCGGAGAGGTGGAGCTCATCTCCATTTCTAAGCCGAAAAACTGGCGTTGTCTGTAGAAACCTCCAATGTCATCTGGCCAGCATGCCTGCATGGAGTGCCGTTACCTTCCTGCGAAAGCAGTACCTATTGATCTACTCACATTTGCATGTTTTCGAATTGCTAGGTTCTGCAGAAGCTGGGGCTAACAATGGGAACTCACCCTGCTCCCCGGATTCAAACCACCAACCTTTTGGTCAGCAAGTTCAGAACCTCAGTGGTTTAACCTGCTGTGCCGCCAGGAGGGCACTACGCTTGTAATAATAATGTTTTAAAATCACATATAGTATCCAGTTAAAAGCCAGCTCGTAGTAACTGTATTTTCTTGAGTGTTTTCTCTTAACTTTCATGAGCAAGTCAAATTAAAATGCAAACTATAGATCTTCTCATGGTTCTGCTTCATTTCAAAGAAAAAGGGAAGGAAGAAGAGACACAGGAGGCCAATGGACCACATAAATTATGAATTGCTTCACTTCATGAGAGTAGGGGCTTTGTGAAGGTCATTCTGTGTAGTGACAGATTCAACCAATGCTTTCAAAGGCCAAAAGAGCAGTGATGTCTCCTTATTTCCAGCAAACCTCATTTGTCTCCCACAGGTATTTACATTGTGGATAGGAGGTTCCGCTCTCCGGATGAGTCTTGCAATCAGCTGACGCAATTCCTCTATGGATTCTGCCAGCAATCACGTCGGCAAAGAATTGTCCAGAGGAACCGAACAGAAAGACTCTCCGACTTGTTGGACTGGAGATATCTAGGGAGGGTATGCTGAAGTATTTCAACTATTGTTCATGATACATACCTAAGTGGACCTCCATGCAGCACAGTATCTCCAGATACCAGGTTCTGGGGGACAAGAAAAAGCTAAGGGCTGCAAGTACCATTATGCCTTGCTGGTGAGCTGCTGGAACAGCCTTCTCCAACCCTGTTCTTCAGATGACCTTGACTTCAAAACCCATTATAGCATAGTTGGTTATGGAATTATGGAAACTCTAGCGCCATATTCTGGGGAAGGCCATACCAGATGCATCTGGCTAGCCCACAATGCCAGACTTGGGAATTATCTAGTTATCCTGTATTCATTGTGCAGTCAATCCTGGCTGCCCCCACAATGTTCTGCCATTTTCAGTGATTATTGCAGGGGTAAGTCTTGCATTATGAAACATTGAGGGATGCTCTAGAGCAGTGGTGTCCAACGTTTGGTCCTCCAGATGTTTCGGACTTAGGCTTCCAGAACTCCTGACCAGAACTTCAGTGAATTGGAGTCCCAAACACCCGGAGGACCAAAGACTGGACATCACTGTGCTAGAGTTTGCCTAAAACACCAGATCAACTCGTATGACATCGGCACAGTGTACTGCAGTTCAATTAAGGACTAAGTCCAATTCAATGTATTGTCAAAGGCCTTCATTGCCAGAATCATTGGGTTGTTGTAGGTTTTTCGGGCTATATGGCCATGTTCTAGAAGCATTCTCTCCTGACGTTTCTCCTGCATCTATGACAAGCATCCTCAGAGGTTGTGAGGTCCAATTCAGACTAGTTCACTATCTATATGGGCCACAACTGTTGCAAGGTTGATGCTATGTTGATGGTATGTGCTTCCACAGCCACTCTAGGCCATTCCTTCTCCAGACTGGCCACAGATTTATTTATCGTGTCAGGAGCAACCAGACATTTGTATTACATTTTTAACAAAACAAGCAAACAAACAGACAAAATGCAAGCTTGGTAGTTGATTAAATGTCCTTTGACCAGTATCTGGCCACTTGGAGTGCCTCTGGTGTTGCCACAAGAAGGTCCTCCATGGTGCATGTGGTAGGGCTCAGGTTGCATTGCAGCAGGTGGTCTGTGGTTTGCTCTTCTCCGCACTCACATGCCGTGGACTCCACTTTGTAGCCCCATTTCTTAAGATTGGCTCTGCATCTCGTGGTGCCAGAGTGCAGTCTGTTCAGCGCCTTCCAAGTCGCCCAGTCTTCTGTGTGCCCAGGGGGGAGTCTCTCATTTGGTATCAGCCATTAATCGAGGTTCTAGGTTTGAGCCTGCCACTTTAGGACTCTTGCTTGCTGGGGTTTTCCAGCGAGTGTCTCTGTAGATCTTAGAAAACTAATACTAGATTTAAGTCGTTGACGTGCTGGCTGATACCCAAACAGGGGATAAGCTGGAGATGTCACTGCCTTGGTCCTTTCACTATTGGATGCTACTTCCCGGCGGATGTCAGGTGGTGCAGTACCGGCTAAACAGTGTAATTTCTCCAATGGTGTAGGGTGCAGACACCCCGTGATAATGCGGCATGTCTCATTAAGAGCCACATCCACTGTTTTAGCGTGGTGAGATGTGTTCCACACTGGGCATGAATACTCAGCAGCAGAGTAGCATAGCGCAAGGGCAGATGTCTTTGCTGTGTCTGGTTGTGATCCCCAGGTTGTGCCAGTCAGTTTTTGTATGATATTGTTTCTAGCACCCACTTTTTGCTTGATATTCAGGCAGTGCTTCTTGTAGGTCTGCAAAGCAACCAGAAGCGGCCACAGATTAACTGGCAAGTATAGATGAAGCCTTGGTCTGGCTAGGCAAGTCAATTCCTACATTACTATACCACTTGAAAATTTTACACTTCATCTACAGCAAGCTCTTGTAATAAACAATCCAGAAGGCTGTCTTTCTTTTTTGATTTGGATTGCTTGCGATAGTATTCTAGGTGATTCAAGGGTGCTATAATAACAGTGTAATCCTACTCAGAAAAAGTTCCATGGAGTTCAATGGTTATAGAATTAGCTGTAAATGTCTTCTTTTCTGACTGCTCCTTACAAAAATGTGGGTAAGTGGGTTACAGCACCACAAAACCATATAATCTTATCAGTAAGGTATATCCTAATGTCTTTGGTGGCTTACAAATAAAAAAGATTGATAAAGTTTTAGCATTATCTTTTCAGAAAAGTGAAAATGGTTATGGAATCTTCTTCTGTTTACAGTTGAGTTGTCTTCCTCTCTCTCCTTTTGCAGTATTATATGCATGCCAGGCACTTGGCTCTTAGTCGAGCATTTCCTGAGAAATTTGAGATGGAACCCAATGCTCCGCCAAAGGTAACCTTTTTTACATCCAGACCACAAAATTGCATCCGTTTCATGTCTAAAGGATATTATACTTTTTCCTCTTTGTACTAAAACGGCAAAATATATGTATATAAAAGAATATTTTTACATGCACATACTCATCTCGGTATTAAGAGAACACAATGTTTGACAGTTTTGCTCCTGCAATCAAGCCCTTCTCCCTCTCATACTTAGGAAGCTTACCAAAAATTGGCAAAAAAATCTCCCAATAAAATTTCCATCTATCCATATTTGTCAACCCCATTACTATAATTATTTAGGTGTTTCGGCAATTAGGAAAGCCCACTGGGAAGAACAATAGATCAGTGACACTTTTCAATCTTCTCCTGGCATTCAAATATCCCCAAGTCTAACAGAAATTATTCAGTGGAACAAAAAAATGTGGGGTATTTGAAGAGGATTTTCTCCACAGAAGAATCTGACTGCAAAACTTTGCTATTTTTAAATCCCAATAGAGAAAGTAGAGGGAAATTTGTTTTCTCCCAGAGCAAGGAGACACCACCATAATGTGCAAAGAGGAAATAGGCTCCACCTACACTGCAGAATGAATACAGTTTGACCATGCTTTAACCACTATGACTCCATCCAGTGGAATCCTGAGATTTGTAGTTTGGTGAGGCTAAAGACATTGTAAGAGTACAGGTCCCATAATTCCATAGCATTAAGCCATAGCAGTCTAAATGGTGTCCATATTCAACTGCATTCATTTTACACTGTAGATACATCCCTAAACAAGGACTGATATCCCTAATACACATTATATATGCATAAAGCAGTGGTTCCCAAAATCTGGTTCTTCAGAAACCTCAGCTGCCTTGGTCAATGATCAGGGATTCTGGGAGCTGATGTCTAAAACATGTGAAAGACCAGAGTTTAGGAAACACTATATATATCAGGCATGGGTAAACTTTGGCCCTCCAGGTGTTTTGGACTTCACCTTACACAATTCCTAATAGCCTGCTGGCTGTTAGGAATTGAGGGAGTTGAAGTCCAAAACACCTGAAGGGATGAAGTTTGCCCAGGCCTGATATAGATGGTGGGTCTTTTTCTCTGGGTGTCTTCTAGAAGAAGGGGCTGGACAGCCCCCTGATAGGGATGGTATATCTCAGGTATGCAAAAAGCCAGGCTCCTGGGCCGGAGTCTTTTCTCAGGCCCTCCTCTCTCTCACCATCCTATCCTTCCTTCTTTACCCCCTCTTTCTCCCTCTTCCCTTCCACTTTTCATCCTTTCTTCCTTTCCTCTTTCCTCCCTCCTTCCCCCCTTTCTCCTTCCTTCCTTCCTTCCTTCCCTTTTGTCTTACCTTTCTTCTCACTTTCTTCCCTCCCTTCCCTCCCTCGCTCCCTCTTTCTTCCTCGCTCCATTCCCTTCCACCCTTTCTTCCTTCCTTCTCTTTTTCCTTCCTTCCTTCCTTCCTTCCTTCCTTCCTTCCTTCCTTCCTTCCTTCCTTCCTTCCTTCCCTTTTGTCTTTCTTTCTCTCTTTCCTCCCTCCCTCCCACCCTCTCTCACCCCCTTATCTCCCCCATTTTCCTTCCATCTTTCCCTTACCCCTTCCATCCTTCCTTCCTTCCCTTTCCTCCCTCCTTCCACCTCTTTCTCCTTCTTTCCCTTTCGTCTTGCCCTCTCTTTTTCCTTCCTTTCTCCCTTCCTTACCTCTCTCACCTCCCTCTTTCTCCTTCCATCCTTCCTTTCTTCCTTTTCATTCTTCCTTCCTTCTCTCTTTCCTTCCTCCTTTCTTTCCTTCCTTCCATCACTAGGCAACCAGTCCTTTTAGCCGGGAGTGCTAGCATGTGGCCCCCAAGTTAGAAAGTTTGCCCATTCCTGCTATATCTGCATGTATGGAGGAGGTTGAACTCTATGACGTAGGTCAGTGGTTCTCAACCTGGGGTCCCCATATGTTTTTGCCAACAACTCCCAGAAATTCCAACCAGTTTACCAGCTGTTAGGTTTTCTGGGAGTTGAAGGCCAAAACATCTGGGGACCCAAAGGCTGAGAACCACTGACCCAGGAGGACCCTTTCTATGGCTGTATGATTGATCTTTCTTGCTTGTACTTCTCTCCCAGACTGAAGGATTTCGGTACCCAAGGCCTTCCTCCGTCCCCCCTTCGCCCTCGGTCTCCCAGCACAACAGCCCCCACCAAAGCGACGAGGAAGCGGAAGATGAGGACGAGAGATATGACGAGGAGGAAGAGGCTGAAAGGGATAGGCAGAACATAAAGTCCCCTTTCTCCTTCAACGCCATGCCAACAGGGAAGAAGAAGCAACACGGGGAATACAGGAACTGATGGAAGATCCTTTGGCTTCTCCTTGGGAACCACACACCCAACTTGTATGCTTGTCACCTTGAAAAGGCCTGACGATTGCAACGTGACTGAAGAAGAATGAAAGTGCATCCTAAAATAAGCACAATGTCCGAAATATCTTGAATTTCCCTTGCAAATAGTTTTGATGCAATTTCTTCCTCCCTTTTCCATTTTGGAGGTAGAAGAAGACATTTAGAAGACTATATTAAAACTTTAGGGCTGCATGCTGGCTAGTGGCTACAATATATGTGTCTCTAACGCCTGCCATTGGAGGAAGGGGCAAAATCTAATTAGATGTACTTTTACTGTGTTAACTATGCAGGTAAATCCAGTGCATATTCTGTAGGCATGGATTGCAGATAATCCTTGTTGGCTTTAGAAAGGAAGAAAATCCCTCATCTTTCATTTCAACTTCTCAGTCTTTATCTGTAGCTTATAAAGTGCTAGGTAAAGGTTTCTCCAGACTTAAGTCTAGTCGTGTTCGATTCTGGGGTGGTGGTGCTCATCTACATTTCTAAGCCAAAGAGCCAGTGTTGTCCATAGACACCTTCAAGGTCATGTGGCTAGCATGACTGCATGGAGTGCCGTTACCTTCCTCCCAGAGCGGTACCAATTGATTTACTCATATTTCGCATATTTTCAAACTGCTAGGTTGGCAGAAGCTGGGGCTAACACCAGGAGCTCATTCAGCTTTAGGCCTGAATCCATTGAAGCAAACTGGCATGGAGAAAATATTCCAAATTAGGAGATCCTTAGGAAATAAGGCAGGATCAACGCCTGTATCCTCCATTCTGCTTCCAACCTATTGCCTCTTCCCCACTCACCCACTTTATAAACGAAAAAGAAAATAAAGTTTCGATGTTCCTGGTTTGACTCTTACAGGGTTTTTATTTAATCATGCACAACTTGAGCTTGAATGTTCACATCACTTTGAGCTATGTTCGTGTTGTGGTTCGGGTGGAATATGAGGCCAAGGAAATAAAGACTGCTGTTTCAAACTTTATTTCAATTTTCTTCTATAGACTTGGACTTTGAAACCCTTGGCTAAGCATTGCACATGGGTTTCTGGGTTCCTATAAGACAGAGTTTCTCAACCTGGGGGTTGGGACCCCTGAGGGGGTGGCAAAGGGGGTTTCAGAGGCATCGCCAAAGACCAACAGGATTTTCTTCTGGTCATGGGGGTTCTGTGTGAGAAGTTTGGTCCAGTTCTATCATTGGTGGGGTTGAGATGCTCTTTGATTGTAGGTGAACTATAAATCCCAGCAACTACAGGGTGAGGTGGCATAAATTCCTTTTTTAAAAATGTGTGCCATTCAGTCGGTTGAAGACGTAGCGGAGCGCTAGTGGTCTCGTTTGAGAGGCGGGAGTATAAAGTTTTGTCCTGACACAGTTCAGTCACCATCATGCATTGGAACAGTGAGGAGCGTGCTTTTGCCGTTGAGGCTTACTTTTTGAGTGGATTTGGAGTGGCTGGCTCGTTCTCCAGATTTGGCCCCTTGTGATTTTTTTCTATGGGTTTTTTTTTAAATCCTGTGTTTATGTGAATTGTCCAAGGACCCTACAAGATTTGAAGACCAACATCCAGGAAGAAATTGCCAACATAACGCCTGCTATGCTGGCAAGAGTCATGACAAACGCCAGAAATCGGTTTACTCAGTGTATGGAGAATGCAGAATGGGGGACGTCACCTACCTAATTTGATCTTCAAAACTAGGTAAAACAAAACTTTAGGTATGCACCTACATTATAAAAAAAAATTCTGATTCATACAATGGGTTTTATTAAGTTTTGAAAAAAAGAAGTTATGCTGCCTCACCCTGTACAACTTCCAAATGTCAAGGTCTATTTTCCTCAAACTCCACCAGTGTTCACATTTGAGCATATTGAGGATTCGTGCCAGGTTTGGTCCAGATCCATCATTGTTTGAGTCCACAGTGCTCTCTGGATGTAGGTGAACTACAACTCCAAAACACAAGGTCAATGCCCACCAAACCCATCCAGTATTGTCGAAGGCTTTCATGGCAAGAATCACTGGGTTGTTGTAGGTTTTTTCGGGCTATATGGCCATGGTCAGGTGTCCTGCTATGGCTGATTTCTCTGGTTGAAGTAGTCTGCAGTGCCTTTCATGTTCCTTGATTCGTGTTTGGGCAATGCTGCATTTGGTGGTCCCTATGTAGACTTGTCCACAGCTGCATGAACCAACCTGGACACAGCATTTTATTTGAGAACACAGAAATGCTGGACCACTCTCACAACCACCATGTCAGACTACACAGAGAAGCCACTGAAATCCACAAGCATGTGGACAATTTCAACAGAAAGGAGGAAACAATGAAAATGAACAGAATTACAACAGCACAACAACAGAGAGGAAACAAACAAGGACATCTAATAATATCTCAACAAAAGTTTGCTCCAGGCACTGTCAGGCCATTATATGCTAATCAAGGTGGTCAGTTGAAACATTCACACCTAGCTCCAGCAGACAAAAGTCCTTTGTCTCACCCTGGTCATTCCACAGATATATAAACCCTTTTTCCTAGGTCCAACAGACCTCACTACCTCTGAGGATGCTTGTCATAGATACAGGCAAAACGTCAGGAGAGAATGCCTGTAGAACATGGCCATATAGCCCGAAAAAACCTATAACAACCCTTCCAGTATTTTCTATTGGTCATGGGAGTTCTGTGTGCCAAGTTGGTTCAATTCTATCATTGGTGGAGTTCAGAATGCTCTTTGATTGTAGGTGAACTATAAATCCCAGCAACTACAACTTCCAAGTGACAAAATCAATCTCCCCTAACCCCACTAGTATTCAAATTTGGGTGTATTGGGTATTTGTGCCAAATTTGGTCCAGTGAATGAAAACACATCCAGCATGTCAGATATTTATATTACAATTCATAACAGTAGCAACATTACAGTTATGAAGTAGCAACGAAAATAATTTTATGGTTGGAGGTCACCACAACATGAGGAACTGTATCAAGAGGTTGTAGCATTAGAAAGGTTGAGAAGCACTGCTATAAGATATCAAACCATGACTAATTTCACGGGGGGTCCGGGGAGTTTGCAAGAAGCCCTTCCTCTCTCTTTTTTGGACTTTTTTGGACAATCCCTTATATAGGCCCCACTCATGCATCCCATATTCGTCTCCAGAAACTTAGCAATCCTGATCAACACTGAAGAATTTACTTTGATTTAACAGTCATTATCTCTCCTCAGACAACCTTGTGAGCTGTAGTTTCTAAGCAGGACTAAGAAAATACTCTCAGTGCCCACCCCAAACTACGTTTCACATTATTCTTTGGGAGACGCCATGGCAATAAATGTAACATCAAATACAAGACTACATTCTCTACTGTTTGGAGAGAATTGGGAGCTAAATGGGGAACTGACCCAGAAATTACTTCTTTGAAAGTTTTATTTTGTAATGATTTTTCATTTCTGCCACTTTGGGAACAAATTACTTAAAACAGGCAGGAATTGGTATCTTTTTCCCCCAGCTACATTTGCAAAAGCAAGCTCAAAGTTATAATAAATGCAAGTTAACCATAAATTCCTAAGCTGGAAAATGGCCTTTAATTGTTTAGCAGAGGCATAGTGGGGGGATTCAGGTGAAGACGATACAGATAGGAAGCTGAGGCGAGAAGTCAGGACAGATGAATGGGGAACGTTTCTCACATCAAACATCTTTTCAAGTACATGTCGTTGGACCTTCCCATCTGAGCTTGAAAGTCTTTCACCAGTTTAGTAGACCATCAGTAACATATCCAGGTTTCTCTTCGCCTTCTTCTTCATCTCCTAAAGCAAAAGAGAGGTGGCATTTATAACAGGGAAACATGACTGGATTCTCCTTCTATCTTTTTCTTTTGACTTGACAGCAGTACATGCGTAAAAGATATTTGAGTCCTCGTGGACAACAAATTAAACATGAGCCAACAATGTCATGCGGTGGCAAAAAACGCCAGTGGGATTTTGGCCTGCATCAATAGGAGTCTAGTGTCTATATCCAGGGAAGTCTTGCTACCCATCTATTCTGCCTTGGTCAGACCACAGCTGGAATCACACTGTGTCCAATTCTGGGCACCACAATTCATAGAATCATAGAATTATAGAATCAAAGAGTTGGAAGAGACCTCATGGGCCATCTAGTCCAACCCCATTCTGCCAAGAAGCAGGAATACTGCATTCAAATCACCCCTGACAGATGGCCATCCAGCCCCTGTTTAAAAGCTTCCAAAGAAGGAGCCCCCACCACACTCCGGGGCAGAGAGTTCCACTGCTGAACAGCTCTCACAGTCAGGAAGTTCTTCGTCATGTTCAGATGGAATCTCCTCTCTTGTAGTTTGAAGCTATTGTTCCGCGTCCTAGTCTCCAGGGCAGCAGAAAACAAGCTTGCTCCCTCCTCCTCCCTATGGCTTCCTCTCACATATTTATACATGGCTATCATATCTCCTCTCAACCTTCTCTTCTTCAGGCTAAACATGCCCAGCTCCTTAAGCTGCTCCTCATAGGGCTTGTTCTCCAGACCCTTGATCATTTTAGTCGCCCTCCTCTGGACACATTCCAGGGAGATTGAAGGGAGATGTTGACAAGCTGGTAAGTGACCAGCGGAGGGCGACTAAAATGATCAAGAGTGTTCCATCTTCCAGGAGCTTGGTTTGCTTTGCCCTTTAGTTGCACAAAATAACATCCCTTTGCATTTTCCCCAGGGTTGCAGCAGCAACCTGAAAGTTAATTATTAATAGAGGCTGGAAGCCAGCCTGCAAGCCTTTTTGCAGCTATTGGCTTAGAAAAGTACCTCTTTGGGTCTAGAGACCGCCCTTTTTCCTAGGGATGAGATCTCCATTTTGGAGAAATCTCCCCTGTCTTCTTCAGTATAGAAAAAGCTTCAGATGTGCTGGTGGCCAGCTAAGCAAGCTCGGACAAGCCATTGTGAGTACAATTGAGATTGAGATTAGGGTCGAGGTTACCCTCTCGCCTTTGAAACTGGCGTTGAGCTCAGATAGAGAAAGACCTGCTCTTTCTAGAAGACAGTAGCTCATTGCTGGGGTAGGGAATATCTCCGGATTTCTCTGCCATTGAGAAAGGCTTCATTACTTCATCTCCAAAACTAATCTTGAGCTTAGATAGGGGAAGACCTGCTCTTTCTGAAAGATAACAGCTCAGGGTTAGAGTAAAAGATCCCAGGATTTTTTCTACCACTGGGAATAAGTTAACTCAGTAACTGAAGGAAAAAAGGAAAGAAAGAACATCTATATGGTTTTCCAAATTAACGGTCTGTGTTTGTAACTTCACCAAGCTGTGCCAAGTCTGCCAAGGACTTTGTAAAATAAATGTTCTGTTGATGTTCAATTCTTGACTGGCCTCAGTTGCTGAGAATCTGGAGCTTCAAAGAAAGACACCCGCAGTTCGCCCAGATAAAGAGAGAAGCACATCTTAGTTTTAACTTTATAGTGTCTGGGTGTGACGGCACAAAGGGTCTGGAGAACAAGCCCTATGAGGAGTAGCTTAAAGAGCTGGGCATGTTTAGCCTGCAGAAGAGAAGGCTGAGAGGAGACACTATGAGGGCCATGGATCGATATGTGAGGGGAAGTCATAGGGAGGAGGGAGCAAGCTTGTTTTCTGCTGCCCTGGAGACTAGGACGCAATGGAACAATGGCTTCAAACTACAGGAGAAGAGATTCCACCTAAACATTAGGAAGAACTTTCTAACTGTGAGAGCTTTTCAGCAGTGGAACACTCTGCCATGGAGTGTGGTGGAGGCTCCGTTTTTGGAGGCTTTTAAGCAGAGACTGGATGGCCATCTGTCAGGGGTGCTTTGAATGCGATTTTCCTGCTTCTTAGCAGGGTTTTGGACTGGATGGCCCATGCAGTCTCTTCCAACTCAATGATTCTACGATTCTATTACTTCTATTTTTATTTTGATTTGCTTGTCATTGGCACCGATATATCTGTGAATAAAATAGCAGTATACAGCAATTAACGTAAATTAAAGGATCATGGTGATGAACCAACTATGAAGTACATTTCACTAATTGATTAAGGTTTGAAAACAAACAACTAATTTACTTTTTGATATTTGCAACAAACTGTAAGGAAATGAGCTCTTACCTTCTTCTTGCGCTGCCTTTCGTAGGGCGGAAAGAAATAATGCTGCTGCTTCAGAAAGCGTGAGGGGATTCATATTTTGGCTGCGTGTCTCTGCAAAGACAGAAGTATGAGAGGTAGGTAGGTAGGTATTTATTTTATTTATTTATCGTGTCAGGGCAACCAGTCGATTATATTACATTTCTAACATAACAAAGCAAACAAACAGACAAAATACAAAATTTGTGAGTTTGGTAGTTGATTAAATGTCCTTTGACCAGCATCTGGCCACTTGGAGTGCTTCCGGTGTTGCCGCAAGAAGGTCCTCCATTGTGCATGGCTCAGGTTGCATTGCAGCAGGTGGTCAGTGATTTGCTCCTCTCCACACTCGCATGTCGAGGATTCCACTTTGTAGCCCCATTTCTGAAGGTTGGCTCTGCATCTTGTGGTGCCAGAGCGCAGTCTGTTCAGTGCCTTCCAAGTCACCCAGTCCTCTGTGTGCCCAGGGGGGAGTCTCTCATTTGGTATCAGCCTTTGGTGAGGTTCTGGGTTTGAGCCTGCCACTTTTGGACTCTCACTTGCTGAGGTGTTCCAGCGAGTGTCTCTGTAGATCTTAGAAAACTATTTCTAGATTTAAGTCGTTGGCGTGCTGGCTGATACCCAAACAGGGGATGAGCTGGAGATGTCTCTGCCTTGGTCCTTTCACTATTAGCTGCTACTTCCCGGCGGATGTCAGGTGGTGCAATACCAGCTAAGCAGTGTAATTTCTCCAGTGGTGTAGGGCGCAGACACCCTGTGATAACGCGGCATGTCTCATTAAGAGCCACATCCACTGTTTTAGTGTGGTGAGATGTGTTCAACTCTGGGCATGCGCACTCAGCAGCAGAGTAGCACAGCGCAAGGGCAGATGTCTTCACTGTATCTGGTTGTGATCCCCAGGTTGTGCCAGTCAGCTTTCGTGTGATATTGTTTCTAGCACCCACCGACAAGATTTTTTTGCTCGATGTTCAGTCAGTGCTTCTTGTAGGTCAGGGCACGGTCCAGAGTAACTCCCAGGTATTTGGGTGTGCTGCAATGCTCCAGTGGGATTCCTTCTCAGGTAGATAGGTAGATAGGTAGATAAGTGATACATAGAATTTCTGACAGATCCTAAGAGGAAGAGAATATCTCTCTGAGATTTTAATCAGAAAAGAAAAGAGTGGATGTAGTTCATGCTTGCAACATAAAGAGAGATATTGGGCCGGGCTTTAGCACAGCAGGTTAAACTGCCAGCTGTAGAAAATCGTGTCGATCGAAAGATTGGCAGTTCAAACCGGGGTCTGGGTGAGCTTCCACCATTGGCCCAGCTTCTGCCCACCTAGCAGATCAAAAGCACACACACTTTTTTGGGGGTGAAGGGTGAAAAGGATGCATTTCACCTTTTTTTAAATTAACAAAGGAAACAAGAGCCCAAAGATAAGGTGCAAAGATGGAAAAGGGCCCATTGGTGGGGCCTTGTGTCTCTCACTCAAAAAACTTTCTTACCTAGCTGCAACCTGTCATACAAATCTTTCCTCTGGCTCTCCTCCGAGATAAACCGACGGCCCTCTGAAAAGGAATCAAGTTGAAACAGGTATCATTGAAACAGGTAATATATTCCCAAACAACATAAATAGTCTTGCAAAATGCTGGCTGCATTTCCATGCTCGTTTGGCAGGAAAAACGAAATACAAAGATCCAGAATGGGGGACAATGCCTGGCTTGAGAGCAGTACGTGTGAAAAAGATCTTGGAGTCCTCGTGGACAACAAGTTAAACATGAGCCAACAATGTGATGTGGCGGCAAAAAAAGCCAATGGGATTTTGGCCTGCATCAAGAGGAGCATAGTGTCTAGATCTAAGGAAGTAATGCTACCCCTCTATTCTGCTTTGGTTAGACCACACCTGGAATACTGTGTCCAATCCTGGGCACCACAATTCAAGAGAGATATTGACAAGCTGGAATGTGTCCAGAGGAGGGCGACTAAAATGATCAAGGGTCTGGAGAACAAGCCCTATGAGGAGCGGCTTAAGGAGCTGGGCATGTTTAGCCTGAAGAAGAGAAGGTTGAGAGGAGATATGATAGCCATGTATAAATAAGTGAGAGGAAGCCACAGGGAGGAGGGAGCAAGCTTGTTTTCTGCTGCCCTGGAGACTTAGGACGCGAAACAATGGCTTCAAACTACAAGAAAGGAGATTCCATCTGAACATGAGGAAGAACTTCCTGACTGTGAGAGCCGTTCAGCAGTGGAACTCTCTGCCCCGGAGTGTGGTGAAGGCTCCTTCTTTGGAAGCTTTTAAACAGAGGCTGGATGGCCATCTGTCAGGGGTGATTTGAATGCAATATTCCTGCTTCTTGGCAGGGGGTTGGACTGGATGGCCCATGAGGTCTCTTCCAACTCTTTGATTCTATGATTCTAAGACTAAAATCAAACTGTTGACCAGACCGGCATAGGAATTCAGGAAGTTGTCCTATATTAGGGAATTTGACTATCTAATACCGTATTGCATGCTCTGATGGGCAGCGACTGCTTGATATTACAAACAGAAAAATTGGATCTCAGATACAAGTCCAGCATCTGAGTTCCAATCGCCAGTTAAATGATATCAAACATAGAACACAATTGTATATGAGGCACATATTCCAAAGCTTGAGAGCATTGCTCTCTTGGATAATAACCCACAGGACCCCCCAGCCAGTATGGGCACTGATTAGAAAAGGCAGCACTATGTATTGATTCCTAATGGGCCAGGCTTCAGTACAGCAGGTTAACTGCCAGCTGCAGTAAATCTTCCTAATTGGAAGGTTGGCAGTTTGAAGCACAGGTCAGGGTGAGCTCTTGGCCTTCAGCCCAGCTCCTGCCACCCTAGCAGATCAAAAACAGCAGTTGTGAGTAGATTTATATATTTATTTATATATTTACAGCATTTATATTCTGCCCTTCTCACCTCGCAGGGGACTCAGGGCGGATTACAATGTACACATATATGGCAAACATTCAATGCCAATTAGACATACAATGTATATAGACATACACAGAGGCTATTTAACCTTTTCTAGCTGCCAGGGGAGCTGTCGCTTTCATTGTCCATCTCCAACACTGATGAAGTACTTTTGCATTCCCCGCATGCTTTGCTAGAGTGCATTTTGCTGGAGTCTTTTTATGGTCTCATAAATTAGTTAATTAGCCTCCCCACACATAGGTGGTACCTAATTTTCCTACTTGACCGATGCAACTGTCTTTCGGGTTGCAAAGGTCGACAACAAGCTACACAATTGGTCGGACACTCACTCCGACCCGGGCTGGCTTCGAACTCATGACCTTCTGGTCAGAGTGATCTTAACGCAGCTGACACTCAGCCAGCTGTGCCACAATCCCAGTGCTGGGTTGTTGTGAGTTTTCTAGACTATGTGGCCATGTCCCAGAAGCATTATCTCCTGGCATTTCTCCTACTTCTATGGCAGGCATCCTGAGAGGTTGTGAGGTCTGCTGGAAATTAGGAAAATGGGGTTTATTTATCTGTGGAATGTCCAGGGTGGGAGAAAGGACTCTTGACTGTTTCAGGTAGGTGTGAATGTTTCAATTGGCCATCTAGAGTAGCATTTAATGGCCTAGCAGTTTCAAGGTCTGGCTTCTTACTGCCTGGGGGAATCATTTGTTGAGAGGTGATTAGCTTTAAAAGATACTAAAATTGGGGAGGTATTATTTAGGCACTCATAAGAAAAATGCCAGAAAACACTGGCGATTTGATCAAGGAGGAAAGTTTGTGAACAAAAACTCTTTGGCAGGGAAGATGGAGTGACAGCACCCCCAGTGGCCAGAACCGAGCACAGCCTCTAGGATCCCAAAGATGGGGAAAGCCTATATATACCTCTACATATGTACAAGTTGTCTGTCTTGTCATCGTATAATCGGCATTGAATGTTTGCCATATATGTGTTCCGTGATCCGCTCTGAATCCCCATTGGAGTGAGAAGGGTGGAATATAAATACTATAAATGAATAAATAAATTCTTTGTGTCAGTAATACTGATCCCTGTGTCTTTGGAGAGAAAATGGCATCAAGACTTACGTGCACCCTTTAAATAGAGCATGGCCTGAGGTGTCCAATTTCTTCTTTGGAAGTGAGCCTTTTGGACCAAAACAAGAAAAAATATATATAAATACAACCCAGAGATCCTACACAGGGAACAGTGGGTGTCTTCCATATGAGATTCACTCAGCAGAAGTTGAGAAAGTAATATACTAAAGTTTTGGCTTACCTGAGGAGCACTCCAGCAAAGACATATCAAGGAAGCCGAGAGCAATAAGGTCAGGGGAATGGCTGTCCCCCTCTGCAGTCCCTGAAATGAGAAAAGCAAAAAAAATATTCATTTACAGTAAAGATCCATAAGGTATATGTTCCTAGTCAGACAATGGTTACCTGAAACCATGGAAACATTGGATGCCAACCTGTCTTCCTTTCTTTTTGGTATTCAAATGCTGGCTACCCTTCGCCTGACTGATACTGAATAGGTCAGGAAGATAGCCTCTGAAACTCTGCTCTCTCTTGATAGATTGATTGCCTTTCCTCTGTCTTTGACTATGGTATAGAATAGACCAGTGGTTCTCAACTTTCCTAATGCTGTGACCCCTTAATACAATTCCTCATATTGTGGTGACCCCCAACCATAAAATTATTTTCATTGCTACTTCCTAACTGTATTTTGCTTTGTGAATCGTAACATAAATATCTGATATGCAAGATGTATTCTCATTCACTGGGCCAAATTTGACACAAATACCCAATACACCCCAATTTGAATACTGGTGGGCTTGGGAGGGGCATTATTTTTGTTATTTGGGAGTTGTAGTTGCTGATATTTATAGTTAACCTACAATCAAAGAGCATTTTGTACTCCACCAATGATGGAATTGAACCAGTCTTGGCACACAGAACTCCCATGACTAACATAAAATACTAGAAGGGTTTGATGGGCATTGATCTTGAGTTTTGGAATTGTAGTTCGCCTATATCCAGAGAACACTATGGACTCAAACAATGATGGATCTGGCCAAACTCGGCACAAATACTAAATATGCCCAAATGTGAACACTGGTGGAGTTTAGGGAAAATAGACCTTGACATTTGGGAGTTGTAGTTGCTGGGATTTATAGTTCACCTACAATCAAAGGGCATTCTGAATCCCACAAATGATAAATTTAGGCCAAATTTCCCACACAGAACCCACATAACTAACATAAAATAATGTGTTTTCTGATGGTCTTTGGTGACCCCTCTGACACCCCTTCGTGACCCCTCTAGGGGTTCCGACCCCCAGGTTGAGAAACACTGAAATAGACTATGGAAAGTGAAGTCCAAAATCTGTAGCCATTGTTGCTCATCTTTGATTTAAAGAATCTCACTAAATCCCGTTTTATTCTCATGTTTGGATAGTATACTAGCTAACATAGCCCAATGTTAATTGACCATGCAAGTAAAAGTCCAGTACCTGGAGGTTCCCCAGTTGCCTCATTCTTCCATTACAGCAGTGTTTCTCAACCTGTGGGTCGGGACCCCTGGGGGGTCACAAGGGGGTGTCAGAGGGATCAACAAAGACCATCAGAAAACACAGTCTCTGTTGGTCAGGGGGGTTCTGTGTCGGAAGTTTGGCCCAAGTCTATAGTTGGTGAGGTTCAAAATGCTCTTTGATTGTAGGTGAACTATAAATCCCAGCAACTAAAACTCCCAAATGTCAAGGTCTGTTTTCCCCAAACTCTACCAGTATTCAAATTTGGGCATATTGGATATTCGTGCCAGGTTTGCTCCAGAGATCCATCATTGCTTGAGTCCACAGTGCTCTCTGGATGTAGGTGAACTACAACTCCAAATCTCAAGGTCAATGCCCACCAAACCCTTCCAGTATTTTCTGTTGGCCATGGGAGTTCTGTGTGCCAAGTTTGGTTCAATTCCATCATTGGTGGAGTTCAGAATGCTCTTTGATTGTAGGTGAACTATAAATCCCAGCAACTACAGCTCCCAAATGTCAAGGTCTATTTTCCCCAAACTCCACCAGTATTAAAATTTGGACATATTGGATATTCATACCAGGTTTGCTCCAGATCTATCATTGTGTGAGTCCACAGTGCTCTCTGGATATAGGTGAACTACAACTCCCAAACTCAAGGTCAATGCCCACCAAACCCTTCCAGTATTTTCTGTTGGTCATGGGAGTTCTGTGTGCTAAGTTTGGTTCAATTCCATCATTGGTGGAGTTCAGAATACTCTTTGATTGTAGGTGAACTATAAATCCCAGCACCTACAACTCCCAAATGACAAAATCAATCCCTCCCAAACCCCGCCAGTATTCAAATTTGTGCCAAATTTGGTCCAGTGAATGAAAATACATCCTGCATATCAGATAGTTACATGACGATTCAAAGCAATAGCAAAATTACAGTTGTGAAGTAGCAACAAAAATAATTTTATGGTTGCGGTCACCACAACATGAGGAACTGTATTAAGGGTCATGGCATTAGGAAGGTTGAGAAACACTGCATTACAGCAAGTCTTCTGAGTTGCATATACAGTTGCATTGCACTTACGAAAAACCAGCTCTGACCTAACAGAGAACTCTAGTGCCTCACTGAACTACAAACATTACGTTGCTGTGACATTGACAACGGAATCAGAAAAAGCTCAAGCTATCTCAAAGGCAGAAAGATCACACTTTTTCCATCTTTGTGGTTTTTGGCCCATTTTTGCATACAGTTCAGGTCCAGGTTATTTGAAGGAGTACCTTATCCCGTATGAACCTGACTATAGTTTCAGTTCTACTGTGGAGGCTCTTATTTTCCCAGCAGAGGTTAGAATGGAAATACTTTGATAGTGGGTTGTTGTAGGTTTTTTTGGGCTATATGGCCATGTTCTAGAAGCATTCTTTCCTGACATTTTGCCTGCATCAATGACAAGCATCCTCAGAGACTGTGAGGAACCTCACAGATGCAGGTGAAACGTCAGGAGACAATTCTTTTAGAACATGGCCATATAGCCCAAAAAACCTACAACAACCCAGTGATTCCAGCCATGAAAGCCGTCAATGATATTTTGATAGTTTCCACAGTCTGTTCTTTCCCTTTTTTTGACGATGGTGGTGGCATAGTTGAAGTCTGAGGGGATTTTCTTGGTCACCTACACTTTTTCAATGAGCTGGTGGAGTTGTTGTGTCAGGTCCACCTTCTTTAAAGACTTCAGCAGGGATCCCATCAGGTCTGCTGGCTTTGTTACTTTTTGTTGGCTGATGGCATTGCTGACTTCCTCCAAACCAAACCTTGGTTTGTTGTTGCAGTATTTGGCTACGTTGGAGATGCGATTCGAGAGGTTGTGGTAGTGCTCTTTGCAACATAGTGGAAAGAACGCATTTAGTCTAGAAATGGCCAAAGTGGATTTTCCACTTTGAATTTAGTCTATTAAATGACTAAGACCTCTTTTGAACTATACTGTGACTGCCATTGGCACCTCCTATGGAATCCTGGAATGTGTTTCTTGGTGCAGTGCTAGGGCCAAAATAGTCTATATATCTTGTGAAACTACAAATCTCAGGATTCCATATATGGTCAAGGTGGAAAAGGGAATTTCCTATGATTTCACTTTAACAGCCATGGCAATATTCCTAAATTACAAATTTCACATATCCATATTAAAGTGGAATCATAACACTATAACCCTGAACGTAATGGGAGGCTTTCGATACATATTTCTGGGCAGTAAGAATTATCTCAGAAAGCACTTTATTTCCTGCATAGTAAGCAAAAACTTTTCCAAAACGTCACCCTACCAGGCATTCGAACTATATGCATCATCGCAAAGAAATAATTATGCTTTTACTATTTGAAGACTTCAGCATATTTAATTAATTAAAATTGTGGGTTAACTCATCAACATTTCTTTAACAGAGCTACAATCGCCAAAAATTTGATACTGTAACAGTAGATTGAATGATGTGTCTAAGATGTGTGTATAAGCACCTTTGAGTCTCCTGGTGACTTCGTAGACTCATGCAATCATTGAGTTGGAAGAGACCTCATGGGCCATCCAGTCCAACCCCCTTCCAAGAAGCAAGGAAATTGCATTCAAAGCACCCCTGACAGATGACCATCCAGCCTCTGTTTAAAAGCCTCCAAAGACTTTTGGTGACCTCAAAAATTTCATAGGATTTTCTTCAGCAAGGAATACTCAGAGGTGGTTTTGCCATTTTCTTTCTCTCCAAGTACCCAGTCAAAATTAAGTATTCATGTTTTGACTCTCCCAGAAAAGAGCTATGATCATATATACCAGTGCTTCCCAACATTCCTAATGCCGCGACCCCTTAATACAGTTCTTCATGTTGTGGTGACCCCCAATCATAAAAATATTTTCATTGCTACTTCAAAACTGTAATTTTGCTCCTGTGATCAATTGTCATATAAATATCTGATACACAGGATGCATTTTCATTTACTGGACCAAAGTTGGCCCAAATTTGAGTACTGGTGGGGTTGGGAGTGGGGGATTGATTTTGTCATTTGGGAGTTGTAGTTGCTGGGATTTATAGTTCACCTACAATCCAAGAGCATTCTGAATGCCACCTTATGGCTGCAGTTACACTGTATAATTAATGCAGTTTGACATTATTTATTTATTTATTTATTTATTTATTTACAGTATTTATATTCCACCCTTCTCACTCCGCAGGGGACTCAGGGCGGATTACAATGTACATATACATGGCAAACATTCAATGCCATAAGCACACAGCATATATAGATAGAAACACAGAGGCTATTTAACATCCCAGCATAACTGCCATGGTTTATTTAATATTATGGAATCATGGGCATTTGCTGAGGCACCAGCAATATTTGGCAAAGGAGGTTACAAACCTTACAAAACTATAAATCTCTAGGATTCCATAGCACTGAGCTATGCCACTTAAAGTGGTATCAAGTTGCATTAATACTACAGTATAGATCGGGCATGGGAAACGTTGGCCCTCCAGGTGTTTTGGACTTCAAAAGTCCAAAACACCTGGAGGGCCAAAGTTTGCCCATGCCTGCATTGAATATAATCTATGAGTTAGACAACCAAATAATAATTCAAAGCTGGCTGTTATGGAAATCAAAATATACAACAATTGTCACAATAATTCTTAATTCTAAACAATTCTAAAATCGAAATACACAAGAATTGGCACAATAGTTGTAAAATCAATCTCATTATCCTCATGATATTTCTAAGCACAGCTATTTGTGACTTAATCAAGAAATTAACTATCCACGAACAAGGCACATTGCACCTGTAGTTAAAGCAGCAGAGATGGAAAATAAACTTTGAGGTTTCAAGCATACAGTATACTTGGTGAAGGAGAAAAGGAGAGGAAATATATATAGTTGTTTAGACATACCTTCATGTCTTTGCTCTCTTGGTGAGCTGGTCTTAAGGAGCCGGAGACTCGGAGAGCGCCTGATGGGGAATATGCAATATGATGCAGCCGTCATGTAGGAATCCCTATTTAAGTCTTCCATGGAGAGATGCCCTCCCTCTTGGAGACGAGAGTGGAGCGTCTCTAAAGGGACTTCTTGTCAAACTCGGACGAGAAGACATCGAAGTTGCTGACATCTTCCTAAGATGGGGGAGGACGTTCGGAAAGCTCCAGGGGAAGTGACCCAAACTTCTGACATATGCTCTCTTCGCTTTAGGAGACAGCATCAACATCCGTTCCCAGCATTAAAAAGCAATGCCCTAATGATGAAAGATCAAGATTCATTACCAACATCATCGTCATCGATCATCATCATATTTATTAGTACCCCACTCTTCTTTCTGGATTGAGACTGAAAGCAGCTCAAGGCATTAAAAAGAAGGCAACTAAAAACCTACAAGATATAAATATCAAAAACTACTTTAAAAATTCATTTAAAATCACATTAATACAATCCCTATATTGTATTGTCGAAGGCTTTCATGGCTGGAATCACTGAGTTGTTGTAGGTTTTTCAGGCTATATGGACATGTTCTAGAAGCATTCTCTCCTGACGTTTCACCTGCATCTATAGCAAGCATCCTCAGAGGTTGTGACTTCACAACTTCTGAGGATGCTTGCCATAGATACAGGTGAAATGTCAGGAGAGAATGCTTCTAGAACATGACCATATAGCCTGAAAAACCTACAACAATCCATCCCTATATTGCAATAATTAGTATTATTATTACTACAGTAGACTCTCGGGCCTCCTCTACACTGCCATATGATGCAGTTTGAAACTGTATTATATTAGCCAATGTAGACTCACAGAATGTAGTTCAATGCAGTTAAGCTGCATTGTTTGAATTTGCACTGATCATATAATGCAGTTTCGAGCCGGTTTTATAATACAGTAAAAATGTATTACATTAAATTAATTTTGACTTTGGTGGGTTGGTTTCCCCTTGACATGAAGTCTAGTCGTGTCCTGCTCTGGGGAGTGGTGCTCATCTCCATTTCCAAACCGAAGAGCCGGCGTTGTCCACAGACGCCTCCAAGGTCATGTGGCTGGCATGAATGCATGGAGCACTGTTACCTTCCCGTCAAGGTGGTACCTATTGATCTAGTCACATTTGCACTTTTCGAAATACCAGGTTGGCAGAAGCTGGGGCTAACAGTGGAAGCCCACCCCACTCCCCGGATTTGAACCGCCGACCTTAGGGCCAACAATTTCAGCAGTTCAGCAATTTAACCTGCTGCACCAAAAGTCTTTATTTGCTTTTAATTACTGTATTTTAATATTAATATCAAGTCAATAAGGATCCCCCTTTGGCACCCTTGTGCCAGCAGAACTGAAGACCGACAGGTCGGAGGTTCGAATGTGGGGAGAGCACGAATGAGCTCACTTTGTCAGCTTCAGCTCCCCATGCAAGGACATGACAGAAGCCTCCGAAAAGTATGGTAAAACATCAAAACATCCGAGCATCCCCTGGGCAATGTTCTTGCAGTTGGCCAATTCTCTCACATCAGAAGCAACTTAAAGTTTCTCAAGTTGCTCCTGACACGAAAAAAAATCAAGTAATAAAGGATTTATGATATAGTTTAGTATGGGGTATAGTATTAGTTTAAAATCTTAAAAGATGATGCTGTCAAGGTGATGCATGCCATATGCCAGCAAATATGGAAAACACAAGAATGGCCATCAGACTGGAAAAAATCAACTTATATCCCCATACCAAAGAAGGGAAATGCGAAAGACTGCTCCAACTTCCGTACAATGGCCCTAATTTCTCATTCCAGTAAGGTAATGCTCAAGATCCTGCAAGGAAGACTCCAGCAATACATGGAGCGAGAGTTGCCAGATGTTCAAGCTGGGTTTAGAAAAGGCAGAGGAACGAGAGACCAGATTGCCAATATCCGCTGGATAATGGAGAAAGGCAGGGAGTTTCAGAAAAACATCTATTTCTGCTTCATTGACTATTCTAAAGCCTTTGACTATGTGGATCATAATAAATTGTGGCAAGTTCTTGGTGGGATGGGCATCCCAAGCCACCTTGTCTCTCTCCTGAGGAATCTGTACAAGGACCAAGTAGCAACAGTCAGAACTGACCACGGAACAACAGACTGGTTCAAGATTGGGAAAGGCGTACGGCAAGGCTGCATACTCTCACCCAACCTTTTTAACTTGTATGCAGAACACATCATGCAATGTGCGGGGCTTGATGAATGCAAAGCTGGGGTAAAAATTGCTGGAAGAAACATTAACAACCTCAGATATGCAGATGACACCACTCTGATGGCCGAAAGCGAGGAGGAGCTGAGGAGCCTTCTAATCAAGGTGAAAGAAGAAAGCGCAAAAGCCGGGTTGCAGCTAAACATCAAAAAAAACAAGATTATGGCAACAAGAATGATTGACAACTGGAAAATAGAGGGAGAAAACGTGGAGGCCGTGACAGACTTTGTATTTCTAGGTGCAAAGATTACTGCAGATGCAGACTGTGGCCAGGAAATCTGAAGACGCTTACTTCTTGGGAGGAGAGCAATGTCCAGTCTCGATAAAATAGTAAAGAGTAGAGACATCACACTGGCAACAAAGATCCGCCTCGTCAAAGCCATGGTATTCCCTGTAGTTACCTACGGATGTGAGAGCTGGACCTTAGGGAAGGCTGAGCGAAGGAAGATTGATGCTTTTGAGCTGTGGTGTTGGAGGAAAGTTCTGAGAGTGCCTTGGACTGCGAGAAGATCCAACCAGTCCATCCTCCAGGAAATAAAGCCCGACTGCTCACTGGAGGGAAGGATACTAGAGACAAAGTTGAAGTACTTTGGCCACATCATGAGGAGACAGGAAAGCCTAGAGAAGACAATGATGCTGGGGAAAGTGGAAGGCAAAAGGAAGAGGGGCCGACCAAGGGCAAGATGGATGGATGGCATCCTTGAAGTGACTGGACTGACCCTGAAGGAGCTGGGGGTGGTGATGGCCGACAGGGAGCTCTGGCGTGGACTGGTCCATGAGGTCACGAAGAGTCGGAGATGACTGAACGAATGAACAACAACAACAACAATAGGTTCAATCGATTTTAGGTCTATTTTAATAGAAACTCCAAAGCAACCAGAAACTACATTTATCCAGCATCTAACAGTCCCCATGAGTAGTACTGAAAAGAAAATGGATTCCCCTGAAACTGTGGAGACCAAAATCCACTGATTTAGATACATTCACATTACCACAATCAGTGGATTTTGGTCTCCACAGTCCCCATGAGTTCCAGTTAACTGAGAGTCTATTGCATTATTGTTGTTGTTGTTATTGTTATTGATACCCAGAGAAGCCTTAGCATATATCAGGACCCACTGTATTAAAACAATTTACATATAATTTAAAATAAATAGGAAACTGATGAAAACCATTTTTATTTTAATCTTTAGTGTTTAGCTAAGTTTTTTGTAGCTTGTGTTTATATATTTTCCTTATGTGTTATTTTATAGTCTAAAATATTTTCCTTGTTATTCAATGAAGACTAATTTTTGTTAAATTGCTGTTAGTAAATGCTCGTAATTTAAAAAATGTTGCCCTATTGTGTTGACTATTAAAAGCAGTAATACAGTAGTAGTAATAATAATGATAATAATAACAATAACAACAACAACAACAACAACAACATTATTCTTGTACCCCGCCTCCATCTCTTGAGGCAACTTACTAGGGCTGGCGGTTTCGTTTCGTTAATTCGTAATTCGTTAATAATTCGTTAATTTTTTCAATTACAAAACGATAACGAACCATTCTGGAGCAATTTTTAAAAAAACGAATTTTTAAATAGTTTTGTAAATGCTTCGTATTTCGTTATTGTATTCGTTTCGTTATTGTTTTGAGGTCGTTTCGTTATTATTTCCGCATGTCTGGGGCAAGTTTTATGGTTGTTTTTTGTTTAATTAGTGAAAAAAAATTATAATATCACACCAACAGTCAACAACAGAGGGAGAGGGAAGCTTCAGACGTTTTTGGAGGTTTTTTAGCGTATTTCGCGGTCGCGTCCGCCATTAACGAATCGATTCGTTATTGTTTCGGAAATCGATTCGTTAATGTTTTGTAATTTTTTTCACATTTACGAAATTTCGTAAATATCGAACTTTTTAAAAGGAAAATTTTGTAATTATTTTAAATAACGAAACGCAAAAAACCCCAAAAAACGAATCGATTTTAGAAACAATTTTTTCCGTTGTTACCCAGGCCTACAACTTACAGATGGCACCAAGTGCCTAAAACAGAGCATGAAATGAACCACAAAATACAAGCACAAAAATTAGAAACAAATGGCATATAAAACAACTATTAAAATAACCTATGGCAACAAGTTACCGAAGAACATGGCCAGACTGTAAACAAAAAGACAAGGAAGTGGGGTAGTGCAAAATTGTAGCCATGGAACAAGGACATGGGAAGAAGTGCAGCGCTGTGTCATTACTGCATAAACCACTAGGGACTAGGTGTCCTCAAAAGGTTGTTTAAACATCCAAGTTTTCAGATCCCTGTGTAAGGAGGACAATGTGGAGATCTGCCTAATCTCCCTGGGGAGAACGTTCCAGAGCTGGAGGGCCACCACCGAGAAAGCCCTCTCCCTCGTATTCGTGATTAGATGTGACAAGAGGGATCCTCTCACTTCTGCAGGAGTCTACCGTATACCATGCAGCTGTGGACAAGTCTACATAGGGACCACCAAACGCAGCATTGCCCAAATTGGAATCAAGGAACATGAAAGGCACTGCAGACTACTTCAACCAGAGAAATCAGCCCTAGCAGAGCACCTGATGAACCAACCTGGACACAGCATATTATTTGAGAACACAGAAATGCTGGAACACACCAACAACCACCATGTCAGACTACACAGAGAAGCTATTGAAATCCACAGGCATGTGGACAACTTCAACAGAAAGGAGGAAACCATGAAAATGAACAAAATCTGGCTACCAGTATTAAAAAACTCTAAAATTACAACAGCAAAACAACAGAGAGAAAACAATCAGGCACATCTAATCACCTCTCAACAAAAGATTGCCCCAGGCACCAACAAGCCACACCAAACAACTGTCAGGCCATAAAATACTAATCGAGGTGGTCA